CCAACTAATATGAAATACCACCATTATCACAGACTAAATTTCCATTTGTATTGTGGTCTATTTCTGGATTCTCTTTTAATGACCTACAGTTTGTTTTGCATTTCTTTTTCCCTATTTCAATTCATGGTATGTTTTAATATGTAATGGGAGAAGTCCCTATTTCATCCACCTAAATTACTATTATTTTTCAGAAATTTTCTATCAGATTTTTCGAGATGAATTGTAGTATCATTTTGTTGAGTTCTCAAAAAAGTTATTTTGATCTTTATATTGTTTATAGGTTAATTTAGGAAAAATTAATATCTTTATAATGCTGAAACTTGATATTCAGGAATGTGGAATGTCTTTTCATTTATCTAAATCTTTATAACCCTCAGAATCTTCATTTTCTTTATAAAGTTACTGCACATTGTCAAAATACCTTATTTTTGTAGTTTCATTGTGGGTTGAATCTTCTATTATTTTCAAATGAGTTTTTTCTATATAGAAAATATACCTACTTTTGATTTTTTTTTTATTTATTTAATTTTTTTTTTTTTAATAGAGACCAGGATCTTGTCACCCAGGCTGGAGTACAGTTGCATGATCATAGCTCACTGGAATCTTGAACTCCTGGGCCATAGTGATCCTCTTGCTTCAGCTGCCCAAGTAGCCAGGTCTACAGGTATGTGCTACCACATCTGGCTAATTTTTGGGGGTTTGTCTTTTTGTTTGTTTGTTTTCAAATAGACAGAGTCTGTGTTGCCCTGGCTGGTCTCGACTCCTGGCCTTAAGCAATCCTGCTGTCTTAGCCTCCCGAAGTGCAGGGATTACAGGTGTGAGCCACTGTACCTGGCCAACTTTTGATAAGTTAGCTTAACTTCATTAAGTATTGATAATAAAGGAATAATATACAAATGCTTACTTAATGCTTTCTATTATTAACTCATTCAGTCTTCTCATATATTCCTGTGAGCATAGGTACTGTGATTATCATGTCTGTTTTAAAGCTGAGGAAACTGAGACACAAAGAGATACATTAACTTGGTGCGGATGAGTGTGTGAAAAGGAAGAGCTTGGCACAATAAACAGCCCTCTTTGCAAATTAGGCATGAAAACAATACATGTCTAGTAAGAGGATTAGTTTTTGGTGTCTGCATTTTATCTGAGATCTTTGTATGCCTCAGTGACTCCCTCTCCAGGGTGAGGACATGTACTGGTTAGATATTTAGATTAATCCAATGGCCTGGAACAAATGGAACTAAGAGTGTGATGACAGCAAACACTGGACTGTTTATTCATTCAATCCCTTAACACCTCAGTGATCACTTTACCCTGATCACACTGAAATTGGATGCTTTGGGTCCTATATTTCACATATATGTTAAACTTTGAATTGCAGAGACCCTTTGTTTACTAAATATCTTATGAATTTGAAATCCTAAGAGGTCATCTCACATGAATTCCTTGTATAAGCTGATTTTTTCCCCATAGAATTAGCAATTACAGTCCAAAGCAGAAGGATCACTTGAGCCCAGGAGTTTGAGACCATCCTGTACAACATAGTGAGACCATATCTTTTTTTTTCTTTTTCTCTGTGAAGATTCTGAAAGTAGTGAGACCACATCTCTACAAAAAAAAAGTTGGCTTTGGTGACACGCACCTCTGATTCCAGCTACTACTCAAGAGGCTGAGGCAGGAGGATTGCTTGAACTAAGGAGGTAGAGGCTGCAGTGAACTGTGATCACACAACTGTACTTTAGCCTGGGCGAGAGTGAGTCCCCTGTCTCAAAAAAAAAAAAAAACTACAGGTTCTGATTTCAAGACCCAGAAAAAGACCTTTTTGTTGTTGCAACCAACAGAAGCCATTTGTTCACTATCTCTGAAGCACAGTTTTGCTTCCTGTTGAAATGTGCTTTGTTTATAAAGTACAGTGGATTCACATTCTTCAACCATATTAGTAAAAAATAAGGATATCTTTATTAATCCTGTTATCTGATTCCTAGACCCTTAGTCTCGACTGCTCCAGGGTCACAACAGGAGTTCACAGGGTCACAAAATTCTTGGATTTGAGCCCCAAAGGGCCTGACCCCACATTGTTGTGTAAGATATGACACCTCAGTTCTTCCCTAGGTACTTTATACCCTTGGTAAGTCCTATTGGTATGCAAGCAGATTTCTTCTAAAATCAAAGGAGCAAGGAATGTCTTCCTCCTATAGAAACATTTTTACTACCAAAACAATGTTTTGTCTATTAAATATAAATACATATTCGTTTTTAGTACAAATTAGGCCTATTTTATATAATTCATTAACAAGATTACAATAGAAAGGATAAAAAGATGAGATTTCTTTTGCAAAATCTAATAGTTAACTAAAGGGGATGGCTAGAACTTTCTCTGAAAGACGATAAAAGCCCTCTACAAACAGTCCCATTGCATCCTGCTGGCGGCTTCAAGCAGCCAGAGCACAGCTAGACCTTGGAGTAAATACTAAGAGGCCCCTGCACCCTGGAGACTCCCAAGTGTTTTTTACAGCACCACTGCTTTCAGGCAATGCTGAGCCCCTTGACCCCCAGCAAGCAAATTAGGGGTACCATTGTTTTTACTTTATAAGCTTGTTTTTCTGGTTTATTACTGGAACAGAATTAGAAGAGAAGTCATAAGAATTGACACAAAAGAACTGCATGAGGGAGGAGATGGCCAGTACTACAGAAGCAGTAAGTATAGAGTTATCCTTGTAAATCAGAGCCTAGTGCCTTACTAGAACTCCTTAAGGGCATTGCCTGCCTTTTTTCTGTTTATTAGATTAGTCATGTTGCAGTGATTCTCACAATGACCCCTAATCTTCAAGGAAATGGAAAATTACATTTAGAATATGGTTTGATAAAGCAGAAATGGGCCAAATTTTTTAAATCAAAAATAATTATAATTGCCAATTTCTATAAATGTTAATTTGAGGGATTTAGAAATATTCATTAATGGTAGATGTTTCTAACCAAGGTTCCGTGGATTTGTTTCAGGGTATCCATGAACTTTTTAAAATTATTTTTTTCCATGAGAAGGCAGAGCATGGGGGAAGGGAGACTCCATAGCTTTCACCAGATTCTCAAAAAAGGATGAGCCCAAAAAAGGTTAAGAACAAATGAATTAAATAAGAACACTTCAAGCCAGAGATTATGTGATTTTTAAACTTGGGGATGAGATAGTGACACTTGGCATGTAAAACAGGTTAGCAAGTTGTGATTCAATTGAGATATGTGATGAAGCTGGAAGCCTCTTAGAACTGCCAAAAAAACAAAATGTCAACAAATTGAGTCCAGTGACCTAACTGGCTTTTTTTTTTAGCAATTCATGAATTGGGCAGCGTCTGGTCTATGAAATAGAAAGGCTGAGGGCAGGGAGGAGGTTTTATAGGCAGAAAAGGCAGAAGAAAGCAGATAAAAGGAACAATAGGTATCTTTGTATGGGTTGTAGCAGAGGGGACTTCCTTATGCCAGCTCAGGTTGATGGGGCCCCTTCTAATGGGATACTGTGAATGTTCTGGGATTTTGTAAAAAAAAAAAAAAAAGGCCTATTGTAAAGTTCAGTTTGATTATGTGGCACCTAACATGAGTGACTCCATTCTAGTTTGGTTTGGTCTGTTGGGATCTCATGCAGGAGCTCAGTCCAAAAAAAAAAAAATGACCTCCCGTAAGTTTTATTTAGTAGAACATGCACAAGTTTAAGCTCTGTTTTTTCTCTTACAGTACTACCCATAGTTCCTTGCTATCTTCTTTACAGGGCCACAGCCTAAAGTAAATTTAACCATAGTCAGAGGTATTTTCACACTGACCTCTGCTTTATCTCTTCCAGGGTATCCTAAACCAATTTATAAGCCCCAAAGTTAAAAACAGCCCATTCTCCAGCCAGCTAGACAAATTGCAGCTGCCCACACTGGCACAAAAATCTAAAGTGGGAACAGATTCAGCTCCCTCCTGACCACTGAGCCAAACTTGGGGGTTGAGAAACCATTCATTGAATGTCTGGGGTGAATGAAGATCAGAAGTTTCAGGAAAGGGGGAAAGAGCCAAACCCTGCTCTTCTGTCACTAAAGAGGTAATAAATCAGTCTTAAGCAAATCAAAAGCTTACTTTGAAAAAATAAAATGCCTGCTCTGGTCTACATGAAACATTACAAATTTACTTAATCTCTGGTACACAGTTTTAATGAATTGTCTTTTCCAAAATATTATTAATCTAAGGCTATTATTTTTGCAAATTTCTGATTTTAAGATACCGCTAAACAGATAATTTTGATTTGTAACATAAGTATATCGTAAGAATGTCATATAGTACAGAAAATAAGGTAAAAAAAACCCTTCTCCCCCGAAACTCCCAGTTTTATTTACTAGCGGTTCACTTAAGATTTTTTAGGTTTCTTTCCTGAAAATATGTATACCCTTGAAAAAAGAATACACAAATGAAGAGCCAAGTACGGTGCTTACCTGTAGACCCAGCCACTCAGGAGGCTAAGGCAGGAGGATTGCTTGAACCCAGGAGTTCAAGTCCAGCCTAGGCAACATAATAAGACCCCTGTCTCTTTAAAAATATATACAAATGAGGTTAGAAGTAACATATATATATGCTTAGGCATCTTGCTTCTTTCACTATTTTGCAGATAATCCAACCTCATTCTTTTTGGTGGTTACAAAGTATTGTCATTTATGAATCATCACAGGAGGTATTTAGATTAGTTCCCCCTTGGGGTTATTACCATCAGTGCTCCAGTGGCCTTCCCTCTACATATATCATGCAACATTGTATGACTTGTATATAAAGGAAATTCCTAGTGGTGGAATTGCTGCTCTGAAGGCACATGATTTAGAATTTGTGGAACTTGGTAGATACTAAAAAATAGTCTCCCAAAAAGGTTGCATTTCTGCCAACAGCCTATGAGACGACCAGTTTCCCTCCATCCTCACACAGGCTTCCTTCAAACATTTTTTCAGACCTAATAGATAAAAGAAAACTCATTGTTTTGTTTTGATTTCTTTTATTATGAGTTAGGAAGAACATAGATTTATTTTAAAATAAATACCTGTTGGCTACTTTTGATTTTAAGAATCAGAAGTCCTTTCTTTTTTTCTAGATTTATTAAAAATAAGTCCTTGTTTACTGCTTTTGATTTTAAGAATCAGAAATCCCTTCTTTTTTTCTTTTTCCTTGTAAGTACTTTGTGTTACACATTTCTTACAGTTTTTGTGTTTTCTCTAGAAAGTTCTTTCCCTAAATTGTGCAGTAAGCAAAATACATTTTGGGGGAAGATCAAGTTTTCTTTGCATTTTTTTCTTTTTCCTGGCATTGAACTAGTATTTCAGCCGATTCCTCCACCTCTGTGCTTTAGCAAGGTCTTCTGCAATCATTTTAATCATTTGATCTGTAGTTTCTTTCAAAATGGTTGCTGTCCTTAGGGCATGATCCAAAGCCGAGTTTAGATTCTACAGAGAAAAAGTCCACACATTTTAATTACATAAACTAAGTGCTGTTTCTGCTCATTGGGTTCTCTCATTAAACATTACAAGGTGGAATTTTTGGAGCATTCCTATTTTCCACTTGGTCTATTTCTGTTTTTGAGGGTTGGTTTCCTAGGAGACCAGTCTGAGATGGAATATATTTGTTAGGGAAAGGGATTGAAAAAAAGATCAGCACGTGACTGATGGGCATGAATCAGAGGGTGAGGTCAGCCGCCAGCTGGGCTGTTTCCCTGCCGCAGAGAAAGAATAGAAGAACAGCTCTTAGGGGCCATTGATGGGGATTTGGGAGCTATAACCACTGAGAGGGTACTCAGGGATACAGCGCATGCGTGTGTAAACATTTGAAAGTGGACTGGGGATTCGAGTTAGTGACTTGAAATAGGAAACCACTGGCAACCCTGATCACAGTGTCACTGGAACAGACCCAGTGCCTTCAAGCCCGGGCCAGGGATATCCTGTAGCTGAGGCACCAGCCACAAATCACTTTCTCCAGGAAATTTCCCTTGGAACCAATTTAGGAATAATACAGACCATGCAGCTGCTGAGGCTGTGTGTCTTTAGCTTAGTACTGAGCATATGTCTTTAGCAGAGCGTTTTCTGAAGCCCTGATACTGTAATAACTTCAGAGCTGTCAGTTCTTTGGTCATCAAGATCAAACTACGAGCTGCACGGATTCTTGAATGATTTTCTAAGTCCTCACCTTAGATTCTGTTTCTTCAGTGCTATCAAAGTCATCTAAGGATTTGCTTCCAGAATTCCTGCAGGAGTAGAAATGGGGCGAGGGTGTTGCAAGGTCTGAGCTGTAGGTCCTGAAAGCGTGAAGATTTTTTCTGGAAGACAAAAGCACATTGATACTTGTGTAAAGCACCACCCTCTACCACACTCTTGTTCACGTCAGCTCCGTGGTCGGTAATAGCTCTATGTGTGTGGTTTGGGCGGTGGATTTGTGCACCCGCTGCCTTCGTAGCTCTCGTGCTCCCATGTGGCTGACCACGGCTGAGCTTCAGAAAAAGGTTGTTGCCATGACCATGAGGGTTTTTCCTCCCAGAATTTATCTGCTTTTCCTCTGGTGCAGGAAGAGGCAAGACTCCAAAGACATTTTTTATTCTGTTTTCATTCTTTTGGGGCCAACTTTCTACCTTGCGTTTTTATAAAACAAATACACAAAACTACAAATTACAGGTACCTTGGGTTGAGTTCATTCTGGCACCAGTGAGCTTTCACCCCAAGGAGGCAGAAGCAGTCAAAAAATAAAAGCCGCTCCTTTTGAAGTAAACAGGCTGCCCTTGCCTGCCACACTGCGATGGGTTCTGTCTCAGGGATGGGCTGAAGTCTGCTCTAGGTGAATTAGGGGTGCAAGGCCACTGGGCTGTTCAGATCGTGCAGAGCATGGCTCTGGGGGGCTATTTGCATAGTCTGTGAAGGTCACTGCCTGAAGTTACGCTTTTCTCAAGCAGGAGCAGTGGCCCTGAGGGAAGCCATGAGAACTTGCCTGTTGACAGGGCTGTCATAGAGCCACCCTCACATCTTCCCCTAGCTTCAGGTTTCCACTGTTAAACATTACTTCTTTGGTACATAAAACACTTTTGAGCAATATCATCTTCAGAAAACATCCCTTCTTCCCTCTCCCCTGCCATATGAACATCAGTCAGTTCTGCAAGTTATTTTAAAACATTGGATTGATCCTCTAGGCAATAGGTAGTCCAGCATCAGGGGCCGGCAACTAATGAAATACTCTGGGTAGGGGATGGCAGAGTGCTGCAGAGTCCTCTCTCTCCCCGTATCTCATCTGTCTCCACTGTCAACAATGCAATAACAGCCATCACCTGCTGAGTACTTATTATGAGGTGGGTACCATTCTAAGTGCTTTGTATGTATGGACTCAGTCCTCAATGAGTTTGGCACTATGAAATGGAGGCACAGAGATGTCAAGGAAACTGCCCAAGGACACAGAACCAAGACAAACCCAAAAAGTTGGCCGGGTGCGGTGGCTCACACCTGTAATCCTAGCACTTTGGGAGGCCAAGGAGGGTGATCACCTGAGGTCAAGAGTTGGAGACCAGCCTGGCCAACATGGCAAAAGCCCATCTCTACTAAAAATACAAAAATTAGCTGGGTGTGGTGGCCAGTGCCTATAATCCCAGCTACTTTGAAGGCTGAGGCAGGAGAATCACTTGAACCCAGGAGGCAGAGGTTGCAGTGAGCCAAGATCTTGCCATTTCACTCTAACCTGGGCAAAAGAGCAAAACTTCATCTCAAAAAAACAAGAAGTCTCCAAAGGCCACATTCTTAAATTCTTAAATATTTTTAAAACATGGGGCTAGACTATGTTAGAGGGTAGTAGGTTCAGACTGAGTGGCTCTGAGTGAGAGCCTGAACTGTTAGCCACTCTGCTGCACTGTTGGTTCTGTCTTTTAAATAGCTCTTGAATGCAGACACAGACTTTTCTCTTTCCATCTCCACCCTTAGCCAAGCTGCAGCATTCTCACCTGAATTATTTCACTAGCCTCTTATTTGGCCTTTGTCCTCCAATCTTAACTCCTCTAATTCATTTCTACTCCCTCAGTAGCTAGACTGATCCTTTAAAACACTAAAAAACTTTTTAAATTCTCTGATTAAAAAACTTAATTGTGGAGGGGATGGCCTGCTATAGTGGCTCATGCTTGTAATCCCAGTGCTTTGGGTGACCGAGGTAGGAGGATCGCTTGAGAGTAGGAGTTTAAGATCAGCCTGGGAAACATAGTAGGACCCCATGTCTACCAAAAAAAAAAAGTAGCTGGCTGTGGTATCACATGCCTCTACTCCTGGCTACTCAGGAAACTGAGGCAGGAAGATCAGCCTAGGAGGTCAAGTCTGCAGTGAGCCAAGATTGTACTCTAGCCAGAGCAACAGAGCAAGACCCTGCCTCAAAAAACTTTTTTTTAAACTTCACTGGGGGAGCCAGACATCTGTAATCCCAGTGCTTTGGGTGACCAAGGTGGGAGGATCACTTGAGGTCAGGAGTTCAAGACTAGCCTGGACAACACAGCGAGACTCTGTCTCTACAATTTTTTTTAAAATTTGCACTGATAGCCCTACTCAGGAGGTGAGGTGGGAGGATGGCTTGAGCCCAGGAGTTAAGGCTGCAGCAAGATATGATCACCATGGCACTCCAGCCTGGGTGACAAAGGGAGACCCTGTCTCTCAAAATAAAAACTAATTAACAAAAAAATAACCACCCTAGTTGGCTTCCCCTTGCTCCTAAGAATCTGAAATACTTCCTGGAATTGACAAGCCCCTGTAGCGTCTGGCCCTGGCAATCCCATCAACCTTCGCTCATCAGCCTCATCTTGCTCCACTGCCACTCCCTCTTTTGGGTTCCAGCCACACCATTCCTCAACTTGCCAAACGCCCCCTCAAACCAGGAAGCTTTCTGAGACTGGAATGTTCTTCACTGCCCCCAGGTCTCCTTGCTAGTTCATTCATACTTATCCTTTGAAGCTCAGCTTCTCTTAACTACCAAATTAGATCAGTAGGACTTTGTGCACCCCTTTCTTGGCACTTACAAAGACTGTGGCTTCTCTGCCAAAACAGTAAGCTCTGTGAGAGCAGGGATGGTGGCTGGCTTTATCCTGTGTCCTCAGTACCTAGCACAATGACTTGATTTATTGAATAAACAAACGTTTACTCAAACATTTGTTGAATAAACAAATGAAGGATTGAAGTATTAGATAGGTTTAGGTTTGAATCATGGCTCTACTAATAATCATCTAGGTTATCTTGGGGTAGGTAGTTAATGCACTATCAAGTACACTTCATGCACCCAACCAATAAGAGAGGTTTTGTTAGTAATAATGAAATAATACTTACTTTCCTGGGGTGGGCTCATGTTCACCTTTACAGGATTTTGAATTCACTCTCTGAGAACAGATCCGTTTTGGCTTTAAAAAAGCTGAAAAATGTTAGCTATGATTAAATTCAGATGATCAAAAATGAGCCCCAAATGGTCATATGTATCATTTCTTGAACTTTTTATGTGAATGAAATAATAAAATTTTAATAAATCAGAAAACTGGGAAACAGACAACAAAGAACTTTTGCTGGGTATGGTGGCTCATGTCTGTAATCCCAGTGCTTTGGGAGGCTGAGACGGGAGGATTGTTTGAGGCCAGGAGTTCAAGACCAGTCTTGGCAACATTGTAAGACCCTGTTTCTACCAAAAAAAAAAAAAAATGCATAAAACCCTTTCATACTAACTACAAATTTTTTGTTAAATTAGCTGGGCATGGTGGCATGTACCTAAAGTTTTTCAGCTACTCAGGAGGCTGAGGCAGGAGGTTTGCTAGAGCCCAGAAGTTCATGGAAGCATTGAGCTATGATCACATCACTGCACTCCAGCTTGGCTGACAGAGTTAGACGCTGTCTCTAAAAATAAAATTTTAAAAAAAGAAATTTCTATGAAGTATTCTGAACTTAGGAAAGGAAATTCAATTTTAAAAAAGGAGTTTTAGGCTGGGTGCAGTGGCTCACACTTTTAAGGGCAGCACTTTGGGAGGCCAAGATGGGCGGATCACCTAAGGTCAGGAGTTCAAGACCAGCCTTGTTAACATGATGAAACCCCATCTCTGCTAAAAATTCCCGAATTAGCCAGGCATGGTGGTGGGTGCCTGTAATCCCAGCTACTTGGGAGGCTGAGGCATGAGAATCATTTGAACTTGGGAGGTAGAGGTTGCAGTGAGCTGAGATAGTACCTCTGCATTTTAGCCTAAGTGAAGACTGTCTCAAAAAAATAATAATAATAAGGGGAATTTTATTAGCAGACAGAAACCAGGAGTTTGGGTTCCTTGGGTGCTTGCTGTGTGACCTGTGCATGATGTCTGACTTCTCTGGGTTTAATTAACGCATCTGATAAATAGAGGGACAATATCTTCCAAGAGGTTGGACCAAATGGATTCCTGAAATCCTCTTCAATTTTAGGAGTTAAGATTCTAGGAGTAGGTGGGGCGTGGTGGCTCACACCTGTAATCCCAGCACTTTGGACGGCGAGGAGGGCAGATTATGAAGTCAAGAGATTGAGACCATCCTGGCCAACATGGTGAATCCCTGTCTCTACTAAAAAAATACAAAAATTAGCTGGGCATGGTGGGGCGCGCCTGTAGTCCCAGCTACTGGGGAGGCTGAGGCAGAATTGCTTGAACCCGGGAGGCAGAGGTTGCAGTGAGCTGAGATCACGTCATTGCACTCCAGCCTGGCGCCTGAGCAAGAATGTCTCAAAAAAAAAAAAAAGTTCTAGGAGTAGAAACTAATGATTATGTTACAAAGACAATTCCAGAAAATAGAGACTAAACAGAGAAGAAGAAAAATGTGGAAAAGTCACTATGGAAGACAAGAAGAAAGCCAGGGAAAGGAAAACAGATGAGTCAGTGGCCAACAAATCTGCCTTCTCTGTCACCAAGACTCCCTTCTCCCCTTCCCTTTCCCTCTTTTTCTTCTTCTCTTTTGTCTTCCCTTGTTCTCCCTCCAGGTCTTCTGTCTTATTCATTGGTGTCAAGTAGCCAGGCTACCCTCACCCTCAGGAGGGTCCCATTGGACAAGGGAAGCTGGGAGAGACTGTCCCTCTGAAATGCAAGGCAGGGCAGAAACCAGAAACCCAGATTTAGTCATGTGACCACCGAGACTTGGGGCATGACGAAGAGGCACTGATGAGCTTAATCTGATTCTTTGGTGGTCTCCAAATGTAATTTTGGATTTTCCTGGAAACTCAGAGTTAGAAAGGACCACAGTGTCACCTGGTCCGGTTCTAGTCCAGTGTATATATCTACAACACCCGTATAAAGTACACTGCCTCCCAGTCCACATGGGCTCACAACCTCCTGCCACAGCCTCCATTTTCTGTCAGCTCCAGTTGCTGTAAGGGTCTTTGTACCCTGGAGGAAAAGCTGCTTCCCTGTGACTTCTGCCCACTTAGTTAGCTAACGGAGTTCCAGATCACACTGTGGATGACTTCGTTGCAGCCCTCGTTCGTACACTGGCATGACAAGTGTCACAGGCTGTAGACCACAAGACCAAGGAGGCCTCTGCAGTCTTAGTAACTGTCACTTCAAGAGAATACATGCAGTTGGAGGTTTTGGCAGCTGGAGGTGGGGAGGGGAGACACACCTGAAGTCAATCAGGTAAATGACATTCTTAAGTCTTGGGCACTGGCTATCATGAAAGATAAGAAACATTCTCCCTGGTGCCCCCTCCCAGAGAAGGAGAGAAGAGCTCTGAAGGTATGAGGGCAAAGGATGTGGCGCCTATCAGAGAACGAGGTATAGCTGTCGTTAAGCAGTAAAACAGGGAGTATTGGCCGGGTGTGGTGGCACACACCTGTAATCCCAGCACTTTGGGAGACTGAGGTGGGCAGATCACCTGAGGTCAGGAGTTCAAGACCAGCCTGACCAACATGGAGACACCCTGTCTCTACTAAAGATGCAAAAAACAATTAGCCAGGCAAGATGGTGCATGCCTGTAACCCCAGCTACTCAGGAGGCTGAAGCAGGAGAATCGCTTGAACCCGGGAGGCAGAGGTTGTGGTGAGCCAAGATCGTGCCATTTTACTCCTGGGCAACAAGAGCAAAACTCCATTTCAAAAAAAACGAAACAAAACAAAAAACCTCGGAGTATTTCCTTCCCTCTTTCCCATTCCCTTGGCACTCTTTGCCCTGCTTTTAGAACTTACCCCATTTTGCTTTGAACTTTCCTTACTTGGGTATGAGTTCCTTTCTTTTAAGAGCTTGGGAAGGAGCAGACATGTCATTCATCTTTTTAAATACATGTTTGTGGGGTTTTAATTTTTTTTCAAAGACAGCAAATTTTTGCATTGGAAGTTAGCAACATGCTGTCTATGGAGTATAAAAATAGCCTATTTCTCTACATGCTGACTCTCAGGAGGGATATATCTAAAGCATTAGCTGCCTCTGAATAGTAACAATAATAGTGGTGATTATCCAGTAAGTCATTTCTTTGTTCAGCAGACATTTATGGGTTGTTACCAACTTGCACTGGTATAGCACTTAATAACTTTCAAAGCCCTTGGTCACTGCAATTCATATTTTCCAGCCCCAGCTCAGCCTCTGGCCGTCCAGGTGTAGGGCTGGATTTGGACCTGTCTGGCAAGTGCATAAGACCTGGGCAGCAGAATGGAGAGGCCAGGGCTTCCCAGATGGAAGCGGTGGCCAGTGTCATGTGGGTGTCCCATACCTGGGACATTAGGTTGTTGACATGGATGGGCTCATGCAGGAAATGAACTTACAGGGAGAAGAGTTCTTCCTTTCATCTAAAGAATGGGGCTGGACAAAGGTACCTCTTTTGCTATGATTTGCGTAATTCTGTCCTGGGGTGTTATATCTATAATGAAATTCTGGAAAGAAAAGATTAAAAATACAGTTCATTGCCTGGGAACAGTGGCTGTCTCCCTTCTCACCTTTCTGAGGCCCCAGGTGAGTCTTACCTTTAGGTGGTTCTTTCCTGCAGCCTCTTTGGGAGGTAGGAATCTTACTGCCACAGTCCTGACATTTGTTACTCTGCATTTCAGTGCCAGAATCAGAACAGAAGCTGTGTCCTATATCAGAATCTGAAAAAGCCCAGTTGCATGAAAGAAGTGTAAGTTTCTTGATTACAGTCATATAATACAGTGTGGAGAGTGGATTCAGCACCAAAGTGCTTAACGTCCCAGCTGTGTCACCAAGGGGAGTTGCCAGCCTGAGGTGACATTTGGGATTCCCTTTTGACAACTGAGAAATGTTTTGATAATTGACATTTCTTGTATGAAAATCTCAAGATGTAGCATACATATTTAGGCTTAGTAAAGGTCTGCTGAATGAACCGATCAGCGACAATTTGGCCCACTGAACTATCAGACAATCTTGCATTTGTATTTGTTTTTCCATAGTTGCCCTGATACATCCACATTCTTTCTCTCAGACCATGCTGTGGCCAAGAGCTTATATTTTGTTATCCAGGCAACTGGAAAGATGGTTTCCTTCTATGTGACATTCATAAGCCTATAAGGGAACCTGAATCATAACTTTGCTCTCTTAGCCTCAGAGAGGCTAGTAGCAGACAGCATGTGTATCTGTCACAGGTCTAGAACCTGTCTGGCAGGCTGTGAACAGAGGAGCACTCTAGGTAAGGCCAGAGTCTGAAAGCCAGGCGGTAAGCATGTCCACCCTGGATGGCCAAGCAACATCTCGCTGCAGGACAGATCAGAGCAACAAAGCCTCTTCTAACGCTTCTTGCCTTACTGAACTCATGGTTACACTCATCTTTATCTTTCAAAGATTGTTAAAGTGAAGTCAAGTGAAGTCATCCCTGGCTGACATCTTGACTTTTAACATACTATGCAATATACAATAACTTCATTGTATAATAATAAATCCATTTCATATTAGCAAATGGAAAGAGTTTGAAGGCCCAAGGTTGAAGCCTGGCTCTGCTATTTATGATGGTTGAAAATATGTTCACAAATTCTTTAACATTCTATTTTTATTTATTTAGTTTTGAGCCAAGGTCTCACTCTGTTGCCCAAGCTGAAGTACAGTGGCTCAATCACAAGCCTCAACCTTCTGAGGTTTTTTGATTTGTTTTGTTTTTGTTTTTAGATATTAGGTCCCTATGTTGTCCAACCTGGTCTGGAACTCCTGAGCTCAAGCAGTCCCGCTTCAGCCTCCCAGGCTTATGTCTGGGATTACAGACATAAGCCACCACACCCAACTGACACTCTCTTTAAAAGGTGCTGTCTAATTTCTCTCTGCTTGAGTGCGGGCTAGGTTTAGTGACTCACTTCTAACAAATAGAATAAAGCAGTAGCGATGGCATAGAACCTCCAAAACTAGGCCGTGAAAGACACCCAAGCGCCCATCTCAGTATTTCTCTCTTGGTTCACTTGCTCTGGGGGAAGCAGGCTGCCATATCCTGATGACACTCAGGCAGCCTGCTGGAGAGACCCACATGTCAGGGAAGTGAGAACACAGATCTTCCAGCCCCAGTCAAGCCTTCAGATGACTGCATCCCTGGCTGACACCTTGACCAAGCCTCACAAGAGACCCTGAGCCTGAACCCCCCAGCTAAAGTGCTCCCAAATTCCTGACCCACAGAAACTGTAAGATGATAAGTGTTTGTTGTTTCGAGCCTTAAGTTCTGGTATACTTTGTTACACAGCAATAGATAACTAATACACTCACTCTTTGGTCCTGCCAAGTCACTTAATTTCTCTGAGCCTCCAGTTTCTTATCTATAAAATAAAGATAATCATTCCTGCATTGCCAGGAGGTAGTGAGAGTTATGTTATATACACTGGCAACAGTTTTCAAACTGTTGATTCTAAACCCTTTTACAGTCTTAAAATTGAGGACCCTTAAAGAGCCTTTGTTTCTGTGGTTTTTATCTACCATAAAATGCTAATATATACCATTTATATACCTGAGGTGAAATGGGCTCCGCCATTGGAGAATAGTTATCATTCAACATTCAGTCCACTGCACATGGATTGGTAGAGAGCTACTGATTTATAGATCACAAGTCATTTTTTGCTTGTGCAGAATCATTTAGATTACCCAAAACTAAATGAGCAGTTCCGAGGCGCTTTTTATTAGAACTGAGACATTTAAAAGACAATTTTATCTATTATAGCATTTTAAAAATAATAAATCCATTTCATATTAACAAAACAGCATGTTTTTAATGAAAATAACTACTTCCAAAAAATTTCAGTGAGAAGAGTGGCATCATTTTAAGATAGTTTCTCTCCTTAAACTGTCTTCAAAGAAAGGATCTTATGACGAAAAACCAATGAACTGAATGCACTGCTGCTCTCTGGGGCACCTCCCAGCTCCAACTTTCTTTGCCTCTATGAAATGCATATATCCAAGGCAGCAGTAACACTCACATAGCCAGTAACCTTACCAGGTACAGTTCTGGGTCACGTGGGAAGGATGAGGACAGACAGACTGAAAGACACCTTGTGAGTGAGTCCATGGAGCCCTGCATTTTCAGCTAGAAACAGGTGTTCATGCTTCACTCTACTTAAGCACATCTTATTGAAAGTTACTCTTTTTTTTTTGAGACAGGTTCCTACTCTGTCACTCAGGCTGGAGTGCAGTGGCATGATCATGGCTCACGGCAGCCTTCACCTCCTGAGCTCAAGCAGTCTTCCCACCTTAGCCTCCCAAGTAGCTGGGACTACAGGTGAGAGCTACCACACCTGGCTAATTTTTGCATTTTTTTGTACAGATGGGAGTTTCACCATGTTGGCCAGGCTGGTCTTGCACTCCTGAGCTCAAGTGATCCACCCACCTCAGCCTCCCAGAGTGCTGGAATTACCGGCGTGAGCCCCCATGCCACCTATTAATTATTTACATTTTGCAAATAATGCAACATGCAACATCCTAGTGTAAGGAAATGCTCTTGGAGTGGCAGATGGCAAGTGGGTACCTGCTGTGAGCAGACCCCATGGGGAGGGACCCTGAAGACTGAGCACCCAGCCCAAGCCCATCAACTTACTGGGAGTCGAATCTGAGTGCAGTGCCTTTTCATGAAGGACAATCGAAAATCTTCCACAGTTGATCCTTCTGTGGCCTTTTTTCTCCACTTTTTGCTTCCTAAAAAAGGTGTATAAGAGCCTGTAAACTTTTAGTGCATTTCTAATAGAGAGAGGGAAAGTTTTTGTAAAGCTAAAACGTTAAATTTTGTTATATCAGAACCTGGAACAGCGTGGGAGGGGCGTGTCATCCTCCACACAGAGCTCTCCTCTGCCTGCCTGTTTGAGAGCTTTTCTACAAGAAATTGCACGTTGGCACAATTTGGCCTGATAAGAAAATGTATACAAGACATGAAAAATAAATGTTTTGGGCCGGGCGCAGTGGCTCAAGCCTGTAATCCCAGTACTTTGGGAGGCCAATGAGGGTGGATCACGAGGTCAAGAGATTGAAACCATCTTCGTCAACATGGTGAAACCCTATCTCTACTAAAAATACAAAAAATTAGCTGGGCATGGTGGCACGTGCCTGTAATCCCAGCTACTCAGGAGGCTGAGGCAGGAGAATTGCCTGAACCCAGAAGGTGGAGGTTGTGGTGAGCCAAGGTCAGGCCATTGCACTCCAGCCTGGGTAACAAGAGTGAAACTCTGCCTGAAAAAAAAAGAAAAATAAATGTTTTGCTCTGCAGCAGTTAATATCTAATCATCGTATACACATAATACAAAACACATTTGAAGTATGGAATTATAAAATTTGGAGTTTTCCTCAGATGCCTCAAAATCCACTCCAGGCTGGGTGTGGTAGCTCATACCTGTAATCCCAGCACTTTGGGAGGCCAAGGCAGGCAGATCACCTGAGGTCAGGAGTTCAAGACCAGCCTGACCAACATGGAGAAACCTCTTCTCTACTAAAAATACAATATCAGCCAGGCAAGTGGCACCTGCCTGTGATCCCAGCCAGTTAGGAGGCTGAGGCGGGAGAATCACTTGAACCCAGGAGGCAGAGGTCGTGGTGAGCCAAGATTGTGCCATTGCCCTCAGCCTGGGTAACAGGAGTGAAACTCCATCTAAAAAAAAAAAAGCAAAACAGAGTTCCTACAAGGGAAGAAGCTATGCTATATGTCAGTAATGGATCACGTAGCTTTGGCCCTGGAAGTACCAGCTGATTATATACAACAACTCCAGCAAAGTGGGCTTTGTCGGGTGTCTGTGGGACTAAAGGCTATGAGAGCATGTGGAGATCATTTTAGTTGCATGTGGCCACCAGGGGGCATCAGAAAGAAGCAACTGCAATGAACATTCTTCAGGAGCCTTCCTGTGGCCCACCTAGTTTCCTCCCTCCGCCTCAGAAATCCCTCCTCCAAAGGAATTCGAATTAATAACAGCTCTGAACAAAGCTCTTGCTCAACTCCTGGGATACAGTAATAGCCCCCAGGGAAAGTTGTTCATTCTTAGTGTGGAAGCCACCATGCCCAAGACATCCTGGCATGAATGAGGCGGATTGTCCAGGGCTAGGGTTTGAGCCCAAGGTATTACTGGGCAAACACAGGCTCACAGCACTGTGCCCTGGCCTGCTGTTGGTGAAGGGATGGGGCTGGGGGTTCGTGAGGCTGGGGCTGAGAAGCCAGGCCCTTTCCCTCCTCTTGGAAAAACATGCTGTCCTCCTGAGTCACATATTTTCTCACACCTCATTTTCGGTCTCCACCCTCCTCCTCTGGGGCATTTGAACATCTGCTCGCCAAAGTGGGAAACTTGGATCTCACTCAAGTCGTGCAGTCCAACACAGGACTTTTTTTGCGTTAAACTCCTTTGTGCACGGAAATCTTCGGCCAAACATAATTCCACTGGGGAAAACAGTTTTTTGTTACACAAGTAGCTAAGTACACCCTTAAATCCAAAGTTTTGCATTAGAAATAACACAAAGAGATAAGTATATTTTACGTTTTACACATATATAACTTATCCACTTATATATAAAGAACTTACAAATATCCTGAAAACAGTATGTACATCAGCAAGCTTCATAAAGGACAAGTCCCATCAGAGAGATTTAAGCTTCTAACAGAAAGAGTATATAGCCCTCCCCTCAATCAATAATTCCTCAGGAATTGTGTCGTTTGCCAAGATTTTAATTCATAAGTCATGTGTATCTCCATCACCCCAGCAGTGGATTCACTGTGAGATCTGATTTTCACTTGCTTGTGCTTGTCTTTCCATCTTGTCCATCATAAAACAGTATATTTATTTAGTCTGGAACATTGGTCCCTGACTTGGTACTTATGTACTTCTGTAGGGTGTAGACTAGGAGTTTCAAAGAGAGAGATTTAGTACCTTGAATGCTTAATAAAAACATTTTTAAATGTCAAAATGCTTTCATTATACTTCGTAAAACCTTTAAAAATCCAAAATTAGACTTTAATTCAATAAATAAAAAGAGTAGGCCTGGGATGACTCTGTGAGTAAGCTTCATGAGTGCCTCTTGGATTAAAGGGGAGCTCAGGGCTGATGACTGACATGGTGGTTTCGTGACCCACACAAGATGACGCGTGACATTTTTAGCACAAGCTTCATGCAGTTTATTTTTTCAGGGGTGGGCACTCAGTAGAACACTTAAGGCAGGTGCCCATTCCCGTGATGGAATGCTTCCTAACAGGAAGCCTCAGTCTTTCCGACCTTGCCATCTGCTTCTATTAGAGTCCACTACGTATATATAACAGTGGTTGCTAAGCACCTGCTGCCTCCCTGACTCGACCTTCCAAAGGTCAATGAGCCAAGCTTTGGCCAGAGTCCATGGTGAGCCTGGAAGTAGCATCTCTCGCTACCTGAAAGAAGCTTCAAATAAATGATACTGAAGAGACACGGATTAATAGTTGCACTGATGGGTGTTTCAAAACAAAGGATTTCTCATGAGGATTTTACGTGATTTATAGCTTGTTAGCTCTGGAAGATTTCTTGCTTAGGAATAGGAAGAAGTCAGTCCTGAGAAGATGGATGAGGCTTGTTCCTGGAACTCGGGGGCTCCGGTGAAACCCAACAGAGAATACTTTTGCTCATCATAAGGAGGGAGTAGGGATGGTGGGAGCTGTTATAAAGGATAAGAATCAATCCCCCATGTGGGCAATGTTCAAACAAAGCCTACAGGACTCCCCTCCATGGGCCGTAACTATGATTCTTAACCAAGGGACTTACCTGAATCACCTGGGGAGATTTAAAAGCAATATTCCTAGCAGAGCCCCACCGTGGGCAATGCTGAAACGGTAGGCGGGGTGGAGGCATGTGCACGATTTTAAAATCTCCCATGCTGATTTTGATGTTCTCCCCAGTTGACAACCACTGCTAGAGGATCTGTAGGGTGTGAGGGAGGCTGGGATCTGTGCCCAGGCCTGAGATCTGTGACTCTCTAACTCAGCCAGTGGCCTCAGTTAGTTGCCGCCCACTCTCACTGGAGTTACCATGCCAGGACTGACTCCCACCCATCCTGGGAATGTAGCCACAAGAAGCCCTCACCATTCAAGGAGCCTGCGGCAGAAGGTACAGCTCGGACTGGGTGCCGTCGTCTCTGCACGTTCCTGCCTTCCCGAACCGCCCTTGGGGTCCTCCTGCACCACAAAGCACACACAGATGGAGAAGTGACGGAGGATGTGACTCACGCCGCAGCAGCACATGCACAACCCAGCAAGCAGCTCAGGCCGGGCTGAACTTGCCACCTCTGGCCGAGAGAGAGAGACTCACCAAGCCTCTCCAGACGGGGAAACAGAGCCCCGGGGGCGGTGCGGGGGGCGGGCAGGAGGAAAAGAAGAAAGAGCGCACCCATAGTTCTGATGTCTCTCTCAGTCGGGGCTGCGCCTGTAACTGCCTGGGCTGAACAATGGAAGTTTCCACCCTGCTTTGCCTCTTTCCTCCTCTACACAGATTTTAAAATCTACTGTACAGATGACGGAATACTTTCCCCTTTCTCTCTCTCCTTTGGTTTCACATTACTCCAAGCTTCACCTGAGAATGAACAGATTGAGGAACATAATTTTTAGACTGCTAATCTGACCACTGGCTAGTAGAGCTCTAAAAGCCTTTCTAAAGAAATATATTCAACTGGCCTGGCACGGTGGCTCACACCTGTATTCCCAGCACTTCAGGAGGCCGAGGCAGTTGGATCACCGGAGGTCAGGAACTCCAGACCAGCCTGACCAACATGGAGAAACCCCATCTCTACTAAAAATACATAATTAGCTGGGCCTGATGGCGCATGCCTGTAATCCCAGCTACTCGGGAGGCTGAGACAAGAGAATCTCTTGAACCCAGGAGGTGGAGGTTGCAGTGAGCCGAAATCTTGCCATTGCACTTCAGACTGGGCAACAAAAGTGAAACTCCATCTCAAAAAAAAAAAAAAAAAAGGTATTCAACTACGAATTAAAACAGGGTTTAGGGACTGTCTGGAGGCCTAAATGATTGGTTATATGTCCCTTTTAAACACAAAACAATTGCTCCACTGACCTGTGAGGGCTGACACCACCCACTGTGTATTTTTTACTACACTAAGGTCTTACATTTTATGTAAGCAAAAAATAAATGTACTTTTTTCCCATTATTAGGCAGAAGCATCATTGTACACAAAGCTTTTTCCACATCTTAAATGACTTCCTGAGGAAATGTCTGGGCCAAAGGTTGCCGACATGTTTGTGTGAGGATCCATATTGCCAAACTGTTTTCCACAAAACTGCAGATTTCACAGCCACCAACAACGCGGATGGCTCAGCCTGACCACACCTTCCTCTGCATCAGGAATCATCACCTGAAAATGTTTCTGTTAATTGAAGGGGGAGGGGTGTCACCTTGTGTTAATTTGCATTTCCTCTGTGACTAAAGGAGATAAGTCTCTTCCCATATGCTGATTCACTGGTTGTATTTCCTGCTTGTGATTTTTTTAGTTCATGTCCTTCAACCATTCATTTTCTTGGAGGGTTTCAGTGTTACCATTTGTTAGTTTTTCATGAAGTGAAGCCAGGTGCTTCTCTTATAGTCTCTTTAATATGTCCCACCATCCTGGCATGTTGTCTCCATTTTAATGGTGAGTAATCTGAGGCTCAGAGGATTTAAGCAGCTTGGCAAGGTCTCATCATGAATAAGTGGCAGAGCTGGGATTTGAACTTTTACTCATCTGACTGGTATGCTGTGTTTTTTTTTTGTTTTTGTTTTTTTTTTAATCTGAGATGGAGTTTCTCTGTGTCACCCAGGCTGGAGTACAGTGGTGCAATCTTGGCTCACTACAACCTCCACCTCCCTCCCAGTTTCAAGCTATTCTCCCATCTCAGCCTCCCTTCCAAGTAGCTGGGACTACAGGCATGCACCACCACACCCGGCTAATTTTTGTAGGTCTTAGTAGAGATGGGATTTCACCATGTTGGTCAGGTTGGTCTCAAACTCCTGACCTCAAGTGATCCACCTGCCCTGGCCTCCCAAAGTGCTGGATTGATTATAGGGGTGAGCCACCATGCCCAGCATGCTTGTGTTCTTAACCACAGTTCTGCTCACTGGGGAATTTGTCTTGGAATTTGATATAATGAAGTTCTCAACAGTAAACATTATTTGCTCTTAATATTTTCTCAGTTACCTGTCTACATTTTTTTTAATTGACTGTGGTTTCAGTTTTGTAAACAACTTAAAATATCAATGTTGTCAAGGAGGAGGTGAGAGTGGCCAATAAACATATGACAATAGATTGAATTTCAAAAATAGTCAAACAGATTAAAATAATGAGCTACCAGTTTTCACTTAACGTATTTAGCAAAAGTTGGAAAAAGAAAAAAATGTCTGTGGTCGGCTCATACTGAAGACATCAACATTCCCAAGCACTGCTCTCGGCCAATAGACCCCCACCGCCTTCCTCAGGCCAGACGATCAGAGTTTTCAGCATGTACCATCTGAACCATTACCTGCAATCCTAGGGTTTTATTCTAAGGAAATAATAACTCCAAAAGCTTGCATGTCAAGTGATGTTACTTGAAGCAATGTTTATGATATCAAAGAGCTGGAAAAAAACTAAATGTCCATCAATAAGAGATTGTCTAAATGTGTCAGAGTAAATGAATATAATGAAATATAGTGCAGTCATTAAAAATGAAATGGTAGGTTTGTTCTAAGTGATGTGGAGAGTTGCCCAAAATATAACATTAAATGAAAAGCATAAAGCAATATATATAGTAAAATCCTATTTTGGCTAAAATGTATATATAGGAGAAAAGAAGACTGGAAGGATATACACCAAAATATTAGCAATGGGCCGGGTGCAGTGGCTCGCGCCTGTAATCTCAGCACTTTGGGAGGCTGAGGTGGGTGGATCAGCTGAGGTCAGGAGTTCTAGACCAGCATGGGCAACATGGTGAAACCCCCTCTCTACTAAAAATACGAACATTAGCTGAGCATGGTGGCACACGCCTGTAATTCCAGCTACTCGGGAGGTGAGGAAGAAGAACCACTTGAACCTGGGAGGCAGAGGCTGCAGTGAGTTAATGGTGATTGCACCATTGCACTCCAGCCTATGCAATAGAGCAAGACTGTCTCAAAAAAAAAAAATCATTGATTTTCCCCTCAGTGAAAGTTTCTTCTTTGTGCTTTTATTTGCTCATTTCTTTTGTAATAAGCATGTATCCATTTTATAATTTAAAAATAAGGGTTTTTTCATCCCCTTTTTTCAGTTTTTTTTTAGTTTTTTAATTTTTTTTTGGTAATCATTGCTAAGCTTACAGGGTTACCCCTGCCCTTGACATCTAAGGCAGATTTACAATAGCAGAATGCAGGGAGATGCCCCTGCACCCAAGTTGGAGACCTGGGCTTTGCCCTGAACAAATCTCACCTTTCTAAACTACTCTTCCTCTGTAAAAAGTCTTTGTAAAGCTCTGAGCGAACAGAATTATCATATCATTGTTTACTGCTTTTCATAATATTGCTATCATTTAAGATCCCGGGATTGTTAATCCCAGCATTTCCAGTTCATTTAAAGTGAAAGAATCTCTAGATCCTTGGAACTTCATTGTGGTCCCTAGGCCAGAGCCAGCAGCTTCGGCATCACCTGGGGCTTGTTAGCAGTGCAGGACTGCAGGCCCGCCCCAAACTTACTGAATCAGAGCCTGCATTTTAACAAGATCTGCAGCTGACTCGTAGGCTCGGAGAAGCTGGAGAAGCCCTAGTGGAGGTACGCCTGCCAAGCTTCTCAGGAGTGCTGAAAGCGGGAAGCCGTCAGCAGTACCAGCCCTCACCAGCACCGACACCCAGGATGCCATTAGGAAAAGAGGCAGGTGATCTTGATTATGCCAATTTCACAGTCACATTCAGCAACGCTGGTGTTAGTTAAAAAGCCAACAATGAGCAGAACCCAGCCAGGCCCCGGCTGCAGGACATTACCCTGGAGTCAGAAGACAGCCTAGTGGCCACTTGGTCTGGCTGATTCTGGGCAGCTGCATCTCCATAATGACCATTTAGGTAACTAATTAAAAAAAAAAAAAAGAATGAAAGAAAAGAAAGCAGTTTGAATTTTAGAATCAGTCCTTGAGCTACCTGGGAGCTCCACTATTTGGAATCCTATGGCTTCATTCTGGAAAAGTGTCACTGGGAATTTAATTTAGCACCCCTGGGACAGTGGGAGCGAGCAACCTAAGGCAGAGAGTGCCGTGGCCCTCGTGTGGCCACTCGACCTTCCCCTCTCCCCCGAGTCCCCCAGCCCCAGCCGTCCTGCCCCTCAGATCTCTGCCCAGAGGGTGGCAGAGGCTGGCTGGACCCTCTAGTTGCCACAGGGCAGGTGAGGAGCCAGGCTTGCAGGCTTTGTAATTCATGGTCCAAGACTACTTTTCTTGTGGGAGCCCCGTGGCCTCCCTAGAGGCTGCATGAGGAAGGGACCTCTTGCTATGTCCTGTGCCTGCTGGAGCTGCAGGATGAGGACTCACATCTGCGGGGGCAGCTCGCAGAGCTCCTCGTTGGGGCCCTCCTGCGGTCCTCCCTGGGCTATTCCTGTTGCCTCACTCCGACTTGAGCGTTGAGGCCCAGGATGGTGGCCAGGGTGCTCCTTGGGAATCTGAGGGAGCCACACAAAAGGACCTAAATTAGTGCCACAGTCCCACGAGAGGTGACTCAAAATCAGTTCAGCATCCCTACAGCACACCTAAGGCACCATAACATCCTGCATGGCATCCCCACCCCTGTCTCCCCCATCTCCTTACCTAGCTGCCTCCTCATCCTCCAGGACTCAGTTCAAATCTCACCTTCTCTGAGAAACCTTCGCCCTTAGTAACGCAAACCTTCTGCATTTAGTTGCTTTTGGTCTTATCCCATTACTTAATAGTCATGATAGCTAACACCCAGGAATAATGTGAGCCGGGCCCTGTGTTCAGTACACCCCTTATATTAACTCATTTAAACATCGTAACAGCCCTGTGAGGCAAGTATTATTGTCCCCATTTTACAGAAGAGAGAACTGAGGCCCAGGGACATTGCATAACTTTCTCAAGATCACAAAGCTAATAAGTGACAGAGCCAGTATGTGAACCCATGTAGTCTGGCTTCAGAGTCATGTGGAATGTATTACTATTTTCTGCACTGCACTTTTAACATTTCATAATTATACATTAATCTGTTAAATATATGTGTCTCTCACAGAAATGTGAGCATCTTGAGGCAGATGATTTGCCTGTGTTGTTCATGTTGTATCCCCAATACCTAGGAAAGTGCTAGCATATAGCGATATATACTGCTTAGTGAATGAAGAATGCCAGCAGTAGACTCTTTCCAGGGCCACTTATCCCAGAGTTATGAGAGAGTTCTCATCATTTCACAACAGTGGCTGTAAACTTGGGACCAAGTAAAGAAGGGCAGATCAAGACCCCAGGGAGCCACTAGGTGGAGGGCAGGGCCCACCCTGCGGTGGCCTCACAAGGACTTGCCACTCCTGCAAGTCACTGCAGGGCAGCCACTGTGAGCCTGGAGACTGCTTGGATGCCTTGAGATGGGCTGTTATATCCACAGTGGCTCAGGGCTTCCTCTGAAGCATCGACTCTCCTGGGCATTCAGGATTTAAAGATGAGTGCAGAGTCACAGAGACAAATGAGACCCAGTGCTGTGGGGACACAGAGGCAGGCACCAAGAATTCCTCCAGGTGCAGGGGATGGGGGTGGTTGGGGTGAAGAGGGTGGCTGGGCACTAGGGGTGCATAAATGACCTGACACTAGAACTGGGCCTTGAATGAGTGAGGTTTTGCCAGGCAGGTAAGTGTTTTGAGGAGGCAAACACTTCTTTGGAAGGGCTAACATTGACATAATCTTTTTCACTTTGTCCTTTACTCTGAAAAAATCCTCATTCAAGTCTGAGTATCAGCCCCAGGCTGTGGCTTCAAATACTGTATGAAACTAAAGAGTCAATTTAAGGTATATAGTTAAGGTATTTATTTAAATGACTCCCTTTCTCAGAATTTTAATTTTAGTCTGAATGTTCTGATAGTTGAGGCTACAAAAGCAAAAAGTATAGAAAGACAGTGGTGGTTGATTTGAATTCCCAATCTTGCATATTTAGAAATCCAAAAGAATTTAACTTGAGAGAAGGAAAATGCAGAAGTGGATTCATGGAAAATAATTATTTCACTGAGGGTACTATTCTTTATTTAGAAGAGGGAGCACAAGCTGGATGCGATGGCTCATGCCTGTAATCCCAGCACTTTGGGAGGCTGAGGCGGTGGATCACTTGAGGTCAGAAGTTCAAGACCAGCCTGGCCAACATGGCGAAACCCCATCTCTACCAAAAATATAAAAAATTAGCCAGGCAGTGGTAGCGTACACCTGTAATCGCAGCTACTCAGGAGGCTGAGGCAGGAGAATCCCTTGAGCCCAGGAGGTGGAGATTTCAGTGAGGTGAGGTGAGATTGTGCCACCACACTCCAGCTTGGGTGAGTACAAAACTATGAAGAAAAGAAATTATTTTTTCCAGGGAAAATCCACAAAAACTTTCTTATTCATTTGGGAGAAATAGCCCTTTAGCGTTTCAGTAGATTTAAACAGCATTGTTACATCCTAAACTGTAAAGATGTTTTCAAAATTAACACGTGAAGTAGCTTCTAATCTTTAAAATCTGGTCCCATTTAAAATAATATAATTAATGGAACTTTGGAAAGTTAAATTTTCATGAGCTTTTAAAATGAAATTCAGTGAATCCATGAATTAGGAGTCTATAAATGCATAAACCTTTTTCCTGGTACAAAATTAGGCTGTACATTGCTGTATTACCTCATTTGAGAGTGAAGAGGACATGGAGGCCAAGTTATCCAGGGGAAATGGAAAACTCACAGGAAGAGAAGGAGCTGAAGTATATCTGCTTTCATCCATTTTCTCCTTAATATCTTCAAGTAGCATCTCCAACTTGAAGATTTCACCTTCCATTTTTCTAAGTAAACATAAACACACAGGCATCTTCTGAGCTATGTAGCTGGCATTCTGATTAATAACAACAGTTCTTGAATACAGAATTGATCTCTCTTATTAGTGCAGCCTGTCTTCTGACACGAAAGATAATGGGCGCCAGCATGACTGTTCATAACTTCTCCGAGAGCCTGGGCTGTGATCCTCGCCTGCTGTCCATTAGCTGTGTATCCTTGAGTAAATCACGTAGTATTTCTGAGCCTCCAATGTCTCACTTATAACCTGGGATAACACTACTGTACCTTGCTTATCCAGATTTGATGATTTTGAGATCCCTTACAAGGGATTCTAAAAACTGGGATTCTATGGAAATACTTGTTATGCTAATTTAAAAAGAGGAAGAATGTAAGATAGCTGAATGATTAGCAAGTTCTAATCTATATGAACATATGTGTATGTGTATATAAATATATATTTTACCCAACAAAGAGAATCCATTTTCTTCAAATCATTACATTTATAAAAATGTACCTTGTATCATTCCACAAAGAAAAATTTTTTAAAAATCCAAAATATTAAACATTATATTACCTACATTCTCTTGTCACTAAAAATTAACAAGAAAAAGATAGCCCACCCAAAAAAAGCCCTATTTAATTAGAAATTTTATACCTAAATAGCTTTGTATTAAGTAGGAAATAAAAATGAATATTAAGGATAACTTACAAGTCGATGGCAAATGAGTGAATAATGTATGAAAAGCAATGTAATGCAGCTAAAGCAGTATGCTGAGGAAAACTTATAGTCTTAAAATTCATTATTGGGGGAAAAATTAGTAAACTAAGTATTCAAAACAAGAAGATAGAAAGGGGAGTATAAAATAAACCCCAGAAAAGAAAAGGATTCATAAAATTACTAGAAATAATTAAGACATAAGAATTTGATTAGTAAGATAAAACATGTTTTTTTCCAAAATATCTGTAAAACGAACCACTGGACATCTGACTGAGAAATAAATAACATTAAGACTGAGAAAGAAAAAATAGGAAAACTTTTAAATAAAAGGCATTGAAAACTTCATATCACCACCATTTAAAATTTAGGTGAATTGAGCAAGTTTCTAGGAAAACATAAATTATTAAAATTCACTTTAAAAAGTAGAAAATATGAAAAGACTAATAACCAGAGAAAAATGGAAATTGTCAAAAATCTCCCCAAAAGACATGAAGAATGAGATAATGGGTGAGTTCTACCAAGCCTTTTTAAAAATTTCTCAGTATCTCTAATACATTAATTCTTATGTATTACATAGTTTAAAATGTAATTTATTACAGTTTGAAAGTATATATTTCAACATATATTTTTAAAGGAGAGATTTAAATCAAGTATATGCAGACCTCTGAAACACTTGTATAGAAACTTAGAGTTCACTAAACATGATTCTACCAAGATGTTTAAGTAAGAGATACATCCTTTGTTATTAGACTCTTCTAGAAAATGAAAAGAAAAGGGAAGATTGCCCAATTCATTCTGTGGTTCAACATTAGGATATTTATTAATATATTCCACTACATTAATAGATTAAAGGAGAAAAACTAGATTTCTAAATTCCATTTCATTAAATATTTTCTTAAATAACAACAAAAGCCCTAATTCTAGAAAGCTAGGAATAGAAGAAAACTCTCTTGATGAAGCTTACTACTTGAATCATACTTGGGAGAATTCTCATTATTATTAGTAGCATGACAAGAATGCTGTCTGTCATGGCTCATGCTGGTAATGCTAACATTTTGGGAGGCCAAGGCATGGGAGGAGCACTTGAGCCCAGGAGTTCGAGACTAGCCTGGACAACAGAGGGAGAGCCTGTCTCTACAATTTTTTTTTTATTAGCTGGGCATGGTGGCGTGCCCCTGTAGTCTCTGCTACTTAGAAGGCTGAGGTGGGAGGATCCCAGAATCCACGAGTTTGAGTTGCAGTGAGCTATGATTGTGCCCCTGCATTCTAGCCTAGACAAGAGTGAGCCTTTGTCTGAAATTTTTAAAAAATGCTGTCTTTCACTAGTATTAATTATCCAATATTGTTCTGGAAAACCTAGCAAATGAAATAAAGAAAGAAAAGGAAATGAGATACGTAAGAATTGGAGGAAAAGAAATAAAGTACAATAAAAATATTCTAGAGTAAGAAGCTTATTAATATTTTTAGATACTATGGATTGTCATACCTAAAAATGAAGACAATCAACTAAAAATCAACAAAACACTAAGAACAGAATTGCATAAGGTAGCCCAGTACAAGTTAAACATATAATATATAAATATTTCCTATAATATAAATTAGATAAAACATCTGTCAACAATATTCAGAAAAACTACAAAGTAGCTAGTAGTAAACTTAACAAAAATATGGGTAAAATCCACATGAAGAAAACATGCTCCTGGATGGGAATACTCACTGCAAAGATTTCAGTTCTTCCCAACTAACCTACAAATTCAATGCAATCCTAAGCAAAATCCTCATGAAATTTTATTAAGAAACTTGGTGAGCTGATTGTAAAGTTTATTAGTAAGAGGAATGTGTAAGAATAGCTAAAAGAAAATTTTTAAAAGAAGAAACATTTCTAAATATACACTAACCTATAATAATTCTAAACTATGTGGATAACATAGCAATATAATCATAGATCAATGGATGGAATAGAAACAGTTCTATATACACGTGGAGGTTTTGTGTCTGTATAAAGGGCTTTTTCAGTTGGTGGGGAAAGGCTGCCCGATTCAATAAGTAGTGGGACAAAGATCTTAGCATGAAAAAAACAAAGTGATAATTGAATAAAATAGAGAAAAATATATTGTGATCTTGCTGGCAGAAGAGAATGAAGCAGGGGACAAGGAGAGACTGAAAGTTTAAAAGGCGATGGGAGCGGTGGCTCATAACTGTAATTCCAGCACTTTGGGAATCTGAAGCGTGCAGTTCACAAGGTCAGGAGTTCGAGACCAGAATGACCATTATGGTGAAACCCTGTCTCCACTAAAAATAAAAATAAATAGCCAGGCATGGTGGTGCATGCACCTGTAGTCCCAGCTACTTGGGAGGCTGAGGCAGGAGGATCGCTTGAACCCAGGAGGCAGAGGTTGCAGTGAGCCAGGATCGTGCCACTGCACTCCAGCTTGGGTAACAGAGTGAGACTCCGTCTCAAAAACAAAAAGAAAGAAAGAAAGTTTAGAAGAAATAGGGCTGGGGGAGGTGGCTCACACCTGTAATCCCAGGACTTTGGAAGGCCAACGTGGGCGGATTACTTGGGGTCAGGAGTTCAAGACCAGCCTGGCCAACCTGGTGAAACACTGTTTCTACTAAATATACAAAAAAATTAATCAGGCATGGTGGCACATGCCTTTAACCCCAGCTACTCTGGAGACTGAGGCAGGAAAATCACTTGAACTCAGGAGGTGGAGGTTGCAGTGAGCCGAGATCGTGCCACTGCACTCCTGCCTGGGCAACGGAGCAAGACTCCGTCTCAAATAATAATAGTAATAATATACAGCAAGTTGGTGCTGACCAAGGAAAAAAATAGAAATAATAATAATAATAAAATAAATGAAATGATGGAGCAGGACCTCAGGGTAGTAGAAAGAGATGGGTTCAAGGGCCATGGTTATAGCGGTTGGAGAGCAAATTAAGGAAGGGAGAGGAGGTGACAACATGGGGATCTGGAGATGGAGGAGACATTTTTGAGGAAGTTGTGATCTTTTCTGTAAAGCAGAAGATAAGATTTTGTGCTGAAACTCTCAGGGGGAAATGGTTGATGGAGGTAGAACCCCATTTCTTGAATTCTTGGCTTCTGCTGTTACTTTGTGGAAGAATCAAGTTACTATTGGACTACACTCTGATAAGCAAGATGCATGAAATGCAAGCAAATATTTTTGTGTATTACCTTGTGAAGGTAATACTGAGAAGGCTTTAATAAGAGCACAGCAGGTCATGTAAACAAGGGACTAGTCAATGAATCTGCGGAATTCTTGCCCCTCCAGAAAGCCATCTGCATTAGCCTTTGGACTCAACACCCAGAGGGTTCTCAACATATCAAGAACCCAAGGATTGTATGGGATTCTGTTCCTGATCACATTATGCCCATTTGAGCAAAAGTGAACCGATCTGGAGCTGGTCATTGTATGGGATTCTGTTCCTGGTCACATTATGCCCATTTGAGCAAAAGTGAACCGATCTGGAGCTGATCATTGTATGGGATTCTGTTCCTGGTCACATTATGCCCATTTGAGCAAAAGTGAACCGATCTGGAGCTGATCAGTCTTTGCCTGTCCCAAGGTGGCTTTAGCTGAGATTTGGGGAAGGCCGGGTCCCTCCCTCGCCCCTGTGTTGAAAGCTTCTCCCGTATATGGAATGTGACTGCAGTTGAAGCTCTTTTTATTTATACTTGTGCCGGGCACCTTGTGGTTGTAACTAGGATATAAATAAGATGTTGAATAACTTTGGTCTTAATGTGCGCAGAAGCCTGTCTTTAAAACCACTGCCCAAACAGGACATTTCTTGGAAAATAAATACCCTTACTCTATATAGATTTTAAATAGCGGAAGTATGTGGAGTTCTTTCTAAACCCCTAGCCCCCAAGAAAAGCCTTTAGGAAAAATCAATACTAAAACCCCATGCTTGCTGTCTAGTTACTCAGTATTGACATAAAGGTAGACAGAGGTTTCATTCATTTTGAAAAAGTAAAACCATACCTTGGGGGAAAAATACCACAGAATGCTAGGACTGAAATGTAAACCATTAAAAATTTTGGCAACAACAATTCCATATTAAAATGCTATGAATAGAAAGGGCTGAACTTACAAATATTAAGCCTACTAAATAGCCTATTTTAATTTATACCAGGAAATTATAGGGAAAGAATCCTCTCCTTGAGTCCTGGAATACAGCTTACAATTATTTGGAATGAAGAGAGGAGAATACAGTGCCCTAAAAATCACCGGTTAGAAACTTAAGTTTGGAGTGAGTGTCCAAGATGCTAAAGAGAAATAACTCAGAAATCATTTAACTTTAAGCTTTAACACTTCTCCTTTGTCAGGATTTGTAGGTCCCTCACCCCAACACCAATCAACCCTACAATGACCCCCTCCCGCCCAGTGCCTCTTGGCAATATCAGTGAATGGAAAAGAAAAGGGGAAAGAGGCTGGGCGCAGAGGCTCACACCTGTAATCCCAGCACTTTGGGAGGCTGAGGCAGGCAGATCACAAGGTCAGGAGTTCAAGACCAGCCTGGCCAACACAGTGAAACCCTGTCTCTACTAAAAAATACAAAAATTAGCCAGGCATGGTGGCGCACGCCTGTGGTCCCAGCTACTCAGGAGGCTGAGGCAGAAGCTGTGGTGAGCCAAGATAGTGCCACTGCACTCCAGCCTGGGCAACAGAGTAAGACTGTGTCTTTAAAAAAAAAGAAAAAAGGAGAAAGAGAGGGACACAAGAGAGAACCAGGCAAAGACAATGAAGGCGGGTGTGAGGAGAGAGAAGAGCGGAAAAAGCTGAGAGGGAGAGGAGAGGAGAACTTGAGAAGAGGGCCCTCTGTAGTTCTAGTTATCATGTGAGGCTTTCCAGGGTTTTCTTACACTCCTCTGGGTCTCCAAACCAATTACAATGACATCCAACAAATTGGATGTTATTATAAATGACATTATAAAATTTTGGCCCAATGCCTTTGTCCCAGGAGGCAATTGTTCATTCTGGGTGCTCCATCTGATCAGTGTCCAACACAGTACCTTATACTCAGCGGGTCCTTCATGCTGTCTGTGGCATGAGGTGACACTTTGTTCATTGGTGACACAGTTTTTGCTGACCCTAAACCAGTGGCTCTCCAAGCACTAAGCCAGCAGCCACACCAGAATCCCACCTGAAGGAGGTCACCTTTTACCCCTCCACTTTACACAATTGCTTTAAACCTGACCTTTCCGGATCAAAGTCACCAACAATTGTTGACTCGTGCTTGTGGACTCGCTGCTGCAAAGTCAGATGCTTGTCCTTGGTGGCCAGAAAGTTCTGCTCCAGCAGTTCAAGACGTCCCTGCAGTTTCTCCAGGACCTGCAGCAGTGAAGTCACTGGAATTATTCACATGCAAGCCTGTGTGTGTAATTGTTTTCCCAAAAATACAATGCAGGCGTACTCTACAGTCGTGTCAAAATGGAGCTGTCGTTCTCCCTGCAGTATCAGTTGCTTTGTCTCAGAGTCTGACATCTAAACTACGGACAACCCAAGGATCATCTCAACATTCACAAGCCCTCACAGCACAAAGCTCAAACGTGTAGTTACTTCTGATTTCTCTCTCAGAACCCACTCGGAGGCCTCTGGCCTTCCTTAGTGCGACATTCATAATCCTATGTATTTGCAGAATGGTTCTTAGCTTACAAAGCATTTTCCCATTCCTCATCTTATTTAATGCACACATCAATGTGGTAAATGCGGTAAAGTATATGTTATTATGCCAGTTTTACAAGGGAGGAAATTGGAGCTCTAGCAATATGTCTGAAGCCACGCAGATCTTAAAAAGGAACTGTAGTTACAGGGCCTGGGTTTCAGTCTGTGGGGAATTGGCGGATGAGATGGGGAAGGAGCAGGAAGATTTAGCCAAAGCTGTTAATGAATCTCCCAGACGTCACTGCATGCAGCCGTGGGCAGACAAATGTTTCAACTGTGCAGGGCAGGGGCATGTTGAAGATGTATGGAGGCTTTGGTCTCACATCCCCAGTCACTGAACGTTCCCTGAGCACTGCCTATGTCTGCCCTTGGACCAGAAGTGTGAGATTAAAAAATTATATTAGGCACAGTCCCCGGTCTTAGAGATGTTATTCTATTGAGATAAGAGACTGTGGCTTAGAGTACTTTGCCAAAGGCCAGAAATGGTGGCTCATGCCTATATTCCTAGCACTTTGAAAGGCTGAGGCGGGCAGATCACTTGAGGTCAGTAGTTCAAGACTGGCCTGGCCAAAATGGTGAAACCCGAAAACCCCATCTCTATTAAAAATACAAAAATTATCTGGACATGATGGTGTATGCCTGTAATCCCAGCTACCCAGGAGGTTAAGGCAGGAGAATCACTTGAGCCTGAGAGGCAGAGGTTGCAGTGAGCCGAGATCATGCCGTTGCACTCCAGCCTGGGTGACAGAGTGAGATTCCATCTCTCTTTCTATCTATCTATATCTATAGATGTAGATATGAGCTCAAGAGCTCTGGCTTGGGGATAGATAGATAGATACCTTTGCCAAGGCCCAGTGGATGCAGTGCAAATTAAGTCAGGCTTAAAGGATGCTCTGGAGGGCCTGGACCAGGAGAGAAATTGCCCAGGGCAGAAACATACCTCGGTGAGCTTACGGAATCAGGCACAACTGGGTTCAATTTCGGACTCTGTCACTTACTCACTGTATGATTTTAGTAAACTTGAACTCTCTAAACTTCAGTTTCTACATCTGTAAAATTAAGATAATACTCCTTGCCTCATATTTAAAAAGCTAAATGAGATAATGCATTGTGCCAGGAGTATAGTGAATACTCAACAGATAGTAATTCTTATAATTTTTTTTATTTGAGATGAAGTCTCTCGCTCTGTCACCCAAGCTGGAGTGCAGTGGTGCGATCTTGGCTCACTGTAACATCCGCCTCCCAAGTTCAAGCAATTATCCTGCCTCAGTCACCCAAGTAGCTGGGATTACTGGCGCACACCACCACTTCAGGCTAATTTTTGTATTTTTAGTAGAGACAGGGTTTCACCATATTGGCCAGGCTGGTCTCAAACTCCTGACCTCAGGTAATCCGCCTGCCTTGGCCTCCCAAAGTGCTAGGATTACAGGCAGGAGCCACCAATCCCAGCCAATTCTTATTAATATTAAAAACAAATAAGAGTTCGGAAACATATTGGCTAAAGGGAATATTAAAAATGGCAAGTGTGGCAGATGCTTTTCATTTTTCCCAGGTTCATCCTCCATCTTTCTCCGTGCTGACTTTTAATGGACTGCACCACAGGCTCCCCTGTGCCCTGGCTTTGGTTATTTTTAGTCAATGGAAGGCAACAGCAGGAGAGAGGTGTTGGAGGATGAGATGGGAGTCTTTTTTTTCCTCCCTGTGCCATCATGGAGTTGACTCCCTCTCTCCATCAAAAGCCACAAGGCTTGTCAGCTACTCCCACAGTGACAGCTCTCCTAGGCTCCAGGACCTGCCTTTCCTCTGCTCCTTCAGGACAAAGGAGAGCTCCCCAGGGTCCTTCCAGGAGATGCTTTTCCATCCCTCACTGGTTTCCCTTAGCTTTGCCCACCCTGTTGTAAAACAATGCCTTTGTTCAGCTCTCCTCAGGCGCCCCATTTGAGTAACCATCTGGTCCCTGCCAGAACCCTGAATGACACTGTAAATCCCATAGAGAATGCTTAAGTGTCTAAGCTTGGGAAGTGAGAAGAATGTGGTAGGCCTGACTAAACCGAGGAATTTGGAAAGGCTAACAGGCTCGAAGATATCAATGTTGGAAAGGTAGAGTTTGCAGTGAGGGTGGGGTGCCCAAAGTGAAGACAGACACAAACATTTGTGCTATAGATGAGAAGTTAGACCAAGAAATTAAGGAACTGGAAGCCTGAAAATGGCAAGTGAAGCCATGAGGGGGAATTAGGTGTTCAAGGGAGAAAAGAGAAAAAAGCGGCCGGGCACGGTGGTTCATGCCTGTAATCCTAGCACTTTGGGAGGCCGAGGTGGGCGGATCACAAGGTCAAGAGATCAAGACCATCCTGGCCAATATGGTGAAACCCCATCTCTACTGAAAAATACAAAAATTAGCTGGGCATGGTTGTGCGCACCTGTAATCCCAGCTACTCAGGAGGCTGAGGCAGAAGAATTGCTTGAACCCAGGAGGCGGAGGTTGCAGTGAGCTGAGATCGTGTGACTGCACTCCAGCCTGGCGCCTGGCAACAGAGCAAGACTCTGTCTCAAAAAAAAAAAAAAAAAAAAAAGAAAAGGGAAAAAAGCTAATTATGAATTCTAATTCAGGATCTTGGAATTTAAATTGTGTTATGCTGCAGAAGATAGGGCACGGTTTTCTAGGCAGAAATGTGCATCACTGAATTCTCATAACACCTCTGAGAGGGAAGACGCGCTGCAACATGTCTGCAGTTGTGTAACCAGTAAGTGGAAGTGGGACATCTGCTCCAAAATCCAAATGCTTTCCGCTGTGTGGTGCTGCTCGGGCTGAGGTGGTTGCCTGTAGCCCTGTCTTCTTTCAGTACTGAACCACCTGGGCCCAGATGTCCCAGACCACTGGCTGATACTGTCAGGAGCCACCTTTACTCTGCTCTGAGTCAGCAGGGATCCCCACATACCTGATAACATCAGGAAGCAGCTTCCCACATCGAGGCTTCTGAAGGCTCATGCCTGAACCAGTTTTCTCTGTTTTGCTTGGCCCTTTAAAAATCCTGTGTTCTTCCAATTTCTGAAATCCTAGCTATCTAGAGATCTTGCTTATCTATTGTTTACTCCATAATCCCTGCAATCTGGCTTCCAGGTTTACCACTTCATTCAAAACCAGGCTTGCCAAGGACCCTGTTGATTGCCAAATCCAATGCACTTCTTGTTTGGGTCCACTCCCCTCTCCTTCAAACCCTCTTTTCTCTTGGCTTCTGCACCTCTGCTCCTCCTCAGCTGCCATTTCTCTCAAGTCTCTCCTGGACCCTCTTCACTTCCTACTCTGCATATTTTGCCGTCTCATCCACTCCAGAGCATTAACCCATAACTATGCCCAAATCTACATTCTCACCCGAACAGCTCTGTAGGCCAGATCCACTGGTCTAACTGCCGACTGGACCTCTCCACTTAGATGTCCCAAAGGTAGCTCAAACTCAAAATGCCCCAAACTGAACTTGACATCTTGCCTCCTGCCTGCCTTCCACGTCCATTCTCGACGGGATCCTCTGCTTTTATTCCTGACCTTGATTACTCAAGCCAGAAATCTGGAGCTCATCCAAGCCTCTTTCCTTCCTCTAGTCAGCCCTTTCCATCTGCCACCATCTCCCTAAACCCCCACATTTGTCTCCATCTCCATCCTCATTGCCAGCCTTGATTCAGGCACTAATGACTTGTTACCTGGACTCTGGCTTCCTAACCAATCTCTGTGCCTTCAGCCTTGCGCCCACAGTGCTTCCCATTTGTCAGCTTGAAAACCTTCAAAGAGGCCTGGTGTGGTGACTCACAGCTGTAATCCCAACACTTTGGGAAGCTGAAGCAGGTGGATCACCCTGAAATCAGGAGTTTGAGACTAGCCTGGCCAATGTGGTGAAACCCGGTCTCCACTAAAAATACAAAATTTAACCAGGTGTGGTGGTGCACACCTGTAATCCCAGCTACTCAGGAGGCTGAGGCAGGAGAATCGCTTGAACCCAGGGAGCAGAGGTTGCAGTGAGCTGAGATCATGCCACTGCACTCCAGCTTGGGTGACAGAATGAGACCCTGTCTTGGCAAAAAACAAAACAAAACAAAACAAAACAAAAAAAACCCTTCAATGCTGCCCAATTTCTCAGCCTCAGGATGAAATCTAACTCCTTGGCATGGCTTAAGGGCCTTCGTGATGTGCCCCTGTCCACCTCTCCCATCTCCTCCCGACCCCCATGTCACTGCATGCTCTCAAGCACAGTATGGTAAATCACAGTGCCCACAACCCCTCATGCTGGCAGCACCTCCTCAACGCTGTGCCATTGCACCTGCTGTGTCCTTTTTCTGGAATACCGCTTGGTCCCCTTCTGCCAAGCTCATTCCTATTCCTCCTGTAACACCCAGCTCAGAAGTGACTTCCAGGAAGCCTTTGACATGTCCCCTCACTGGCAAGGTAAGCCTCTTCTAGGCTGCCATCAGCATTCTCTGTAACATTTCTCCAGCTGCATTTGAGTTACCTGTTTACCAGTCCATTGTTCCTAAGAGACTACAAGCCACTTGAAAAAAGATTGTTTCTTCATCTTCAATCCCTAGTACCTAGTACAGGGTCCGGGACGTAGAAAATGGCTGACAAATGTTTGTTAAACGAATGATTTAATTAATATGATGAATGAGTGAATAATCAACTGTGCGTTTAGCATGTGGGTCCCCCAGTTTTTGTCCAGGCTGCTGGGTTTCTGAAGCACAGCCTGCCCTAAACCTTGCTTGTTTCTGTGTCAGAACTTTTGACCTCCTGCCTTGTTCATGAGCCAACAGCCTCAAGTACATCTTCGACGTCAGCATATTTCTGGTTCTCCAAGCCTCAGCCTTAATCCCATTGCCCCACCCCACTTCCCATGACCCTGGCACTGACAAGGCTGCTGTGATGATGACATAAATTAATGGTTTGATTAAATGCAGCAACTAGCAAGGATGTGAAAGTAAAATAATTTGACCTGAAAAACACTGCTTCGAGGTTCATTTTATAAGTATTCAAAATCATATTTAATTTCCAGACAATGGAGATTTTTATAACCTCAATCCACCGGAACCCATCAACCATGACAGGCCCACCCTTTATAACTGATTATGCGTTCTCCTCTTGAACCTACTGTGGTATCAGATTAATTATGAGTAACTGGCAAGGAGTAATAGCCATGAGTACTAGATCCCCTGAGAAGGAAAGAGGGTTAAATAGATACAAAAACAGAATTCTATGCTCTTTTAGCCCCCATAAACAAAGATGGTTTAATCTTCAGCAAAACATTTCCACTTCCGCCACTGTTGAGAAAACATGGCACTATCAAGTCATTTGTCTTTATCCAAGCCGAATTCTCCAATCAAGATTTAAAACAGGACACAATTTATTACCAGCTTCTTGTCTTGCAAATGATAAGGAGAACCCCTTTTTATTCTTTTGGAAAATTCTTGTACCCGCAGTGAAAAAAATTCCAGTCTCTCCCTAATAGCATGGTGTCTCATGTATGAATTTGGTTACTTGTATTGTTTATAACAAGCTTTAAAACTATTACTTTAGTCTTCAGTGGATCCGTCTGTTCTTTTAACTTCTGACGCATCTGTTTCCCTTGGGATAACTTTTGAAATATGTAAGAAGTGCCTTTCTGAGAGGTTGGTGACAGCTTAGAGAGACTCGCCTCAGATTCTATTCCTATACAAGAAGGAACACACTTGGGCTACCATTCATCTCAACTTATCACAGTTTTACTAAGTACCGAAAACAGAGAGCTGCTGCAGTTACCACCACTTGCTGTTTTTTAGAAAAAATATTTTTTTCAAAATATATATCTATGCCAGGCACAGTGGCTCACACCTGTAATCCCTACACTTTGGGAGGCCAAGGCAGGCTGTTCTTGAAGCCAGGAGTTCAAGACCAGCCTCAGCAACAAAGTGAGTGCCCACTTCTAGAAAAAAAAAAAATTATCTAGGTGTGGTGGCATGCATCTGTAATCCCAACTACTTGGGAGGATGAGGTAGGAGGATCACTTGAGCCCAGGAGGTCGAGGCTACAATAAGCTGAGATTGTGCCACTATACTTTAGCCTGGGCGACAGAGTAAGACCCTATCTCAAAAAGACAAAAGCAAAACATGAAAATGTTAGTACCTTTGAGAAGTTCTTGGTGGATTTGTACTGTAGGCTCCATCTGCACAATTAAAGGGTAAGAAAACATTACTGTTGATATTGATCAATGACATGACTATTCAGAACGACTCAACATGTTCGGTCATCATAGACGCAGCCAGTGTTGTAGTCAAGAACCAGGGCCATGATGCCAAGGCTGAGTTCCACTCTGACACTGACTTGCTGGGCGACCCAAGCAATTGCCTCATCCACTTATAAGCTTCCAATTCCTCAGCAGGAAAATGGGAATAGCAAGTGAACCTACCTCAGGGAGTTACTCTGAGGATCTCAACTATATGATGGATATAAAACTTGCCAGGTCAATTCTCCAATCTGAATTGACAGGACTAGAAAAAAATCAGATACGTGACCTCAAACCCCATACCAGAGGAAGATGAGCCTGATATCCATCTGCTCCTAACCACGGGCACTGAGAACAGGACACAACGAGGACGTTCTCCGGCAACCAGCACAAGGAACCCCAACAGCTCCCAATACCACGGGGGTGTAGCTTTCTCTCAGACTTAGAGAGCAATTCTGTCATGGCCAGGTGGGCTGTTGGCTCAGGTTTGGATGTAGGGGGTTTTGCTCAAACGCCCCAGAGCATTCAGCTGAAAGAGAGGGGAGCTAAGGAATGAGAATGGAAATGGAAATTTTAAGAAAGAAAAGAGAAAAATTACTTCCAAGGTTAGGTTACAGAAAAGAAGAGAGAGAGAATAGAAATGGAGACAGGCAGTGTGGTTCAGTCCAGAACGCCTTCCTACAAGGCTCAAAAGAAAGACCAGGCAGTCTAGGCAAAGTCTCAAACAACTAAAATGTTTATTTTGGTTATTAATATGGATTTACCTTACTATTGGGCCTCAATAATCCATTAGGTCCTGAGCCTCAGCACATTGGGAAGTTGGTGGGGGATGTGAGAAGATGGGGTAAGGGAAAGGGGGAAATAGCATAAACTAACCATTAACAAAGTTTTATACCAAATGATTACCAAGATAGCAAGCTTGAAATCCATTATTAAAGATCTTAATTCCATTCAACTTAGCATTAATAACTAAGGGCATAATGTACATAAGACACAAGGCTAGACCTCTGGAGGAAGTTAGGCAATGGGAAGGCGAAGATACGGTTGCTGCCCTCCAGAGCCTGAGAATCTAGGGGAGGAACGAGATGCCTCTGTTCTTAGGATCCAAAGCAGGTGAGGTGCACACGCTGATGAAAGGACTAAACAGACAAGTGTGGGAAAGCTCGTGACTTGGGAGACCCGAAAAGTTACGTGGCCCAAGGGGGAATTGAAGGAGGCCATGAAAACAAGCAGGTCGTTGGTAAGTCAAGATGGGATTGCCATGCAAGGCAGGAACTCAGAGAGCTCAAGTCCTGAGAAGAGGTTCGGGACCAGCCAGGGAACCAGGGATGACTCCTGAGGAAAGGCAGCTAAGTTTAGGTGAAGAGAGCCAAATGCCGGCTTGCAGAATATGGATTTTATTCTCGTCTGTGTTTTTGTCAGCATAGCCCCTGATGCTTCTCATGAGGACGTCGAGAGTCTGAGCAGCCATGTCACTCCCCCAGCGTGACCCAGGGTACTGAATAAAACCTTGGAACTAGAACCAAGCTCTAGTCACCCTCCAAAACCCACACTGAAAGAGATGAGCCGGGGTCCCAATTAGCGTATTTACAGGAGACCGTTTCATTTACCTGGATTTGTTGTGAAGTTTCAGTGATTTCCCTTTTCTGCTCTTGATGATGTTTTTCAGCACAGGGTGGCTCACGTGTGGTTTCTAAAATATCTTGCCCAAGAGCAGGTTTGTCTCTCAACTTGGAAGAAGAGCTGGCTTGTTTAGCTATTGCAAGTGGGTTATCAACTATTTTAGTTTTAGGAATTTTCACTTTGGGAGCAATCTTAGAGAAATCAGCCAGCTGGTAATGAACTTGACCTTGGCCATATTTGAACGTGTTGCCCGAACTTGCTTTTTCAGTCTGCTGTTTCTGGGGAACCTGCCCTTGATAACTGTTTTGTTTATCACCTGGACCCTTGATTTTAGTTAAAATATTTACATTTTCTTGACGGCTGCTATCTTCAGCAGCCACTGGCTCATGTAATTCAGAGGTATTTTCTTCTGTCATGGTGGGAAAACTGGGCTTATCGCTTTCACCATCCCTTTGGGGCTTGAGTTGGTCAGTGAGTTCTGGGGTTTGTTCTTTTGGCCATGAATTCTTAATATAACATGAAATCATATTTTTAATAATAGCTTCCTCTTCAAAACTGTCAGCATTTGAGATCTCTGGGAGGGTTTCACAATCTATGCCTCGACCTCTTAAGAACGGCTCTTTGGAAAGATGACGGAGTAAAATATCTGAAATGCTTGACTTAGAGGCGTCTCCTTCCTTAGCTGGAATATGAGGAGTTGCAGTGCATTGTTTCTCTTCCTCGCTTTTCTCATTGGCAGCATTTCCAGTCATTTTACCCAGGGGCATGGTCATAACGGTATTTCTGCAAGTCTCGTTATGCATAGCCTTCTCTTGAGGGTCATCTGCTATGAAAATAATTTGATTTGAAACTTCAAGGGCATCCTTTTTTGAGGTAAAATTGTAATCATTACGTATCTTAATCTGGGAGAGGTCCCCATCATAAGGCAAATCCTCCTGCTTATAAGTCATGTCTTGTGAAAAATCGGCCTCGTCCATGTGGGTGCAGCCCACTCTCTTGTCCTCTGTCGCCTGAGCTGGCCACTGTCAATTTTCACAGTAGCTCTGGTTCTCACTGACCGTCTTCACTGTGTGCTGTTCGGTGTGAAATGAGAACAGCCTCATTGTTAAAAATATTGGAATAATGTATCCAACAATGCCAGAACAAAGGGGATGTTTTTTAATTGGAAAAATTCAGTTACAAACAGGAAGGCAGAAAGCTCAGCCACAAGCTGACCCATCCTCAGTCCACACTACGTTAACAAAATCGGTAGGATAAAAGCAAGGAACAGGAAAAAAAGGAGAGTGTTAGATTTTTCATTTATCGCATTTTGAGGGAGACATTGGTCTACAGTTAATGGTCAAATATTTATCAACCTCCCTTAGGAGATACTATTTGGAGTTTATTCTCCCAAAATAAGAGCTTGGGATGCAAGTAAAGAATTGATTTTTTTTTTTTTTAACTACCAGAGCCACGCCTTGTCCACACATCACTGACAATCTTTTAAGCTGTGTGGCGCTGGAAGCCAGCCTCACTCACAAGTGACACCCACCCTCTCCATTTTGGTACTTTTTCACCTGTTCCTTTAAACCTCCTTCTCACCTTCTCCTGACTTTCCCTTGCATGTCTGAGAAGGGCAGAGAAGGACTTGCAGAAATATGACCAAGGGGCCAGGTTCAGTGGTTCACACCTGTAATCCCAGCACTTTGGGGGGCTGAGGCAAGGAGATTACCTGAGGTCAGGAGTTCAAGACCAGACTGGCCAACATGGCGAAACCCCATCTCTACTAAAAATACAAAATGTTAGCCAGGTGTGGTGGCACATGCCTATAATCCCAGCTACAGGGGAGGCTAAGGCAGGAGAATCTCTTGAACTTGGGAGGTGGAGATTGCAGTGAGCCGAGATCGCACCCCTGTACTTCAGCCTGGGTGACACAGTGAGACTCCCTGTCCAAAAAAGAGAAAGAAATGTGACCCTGGGACAATAGGCTTTCAAACACCCGGAGGCCAGTCTGCAGCCTAACGGCCCTCTCCTAATTCACAATCGGCAGGGACCTAGTCAGAGAGGCTGCCTTGCCTGAGCCACCCCTGCCAGCCACCACATTGCAGGTGGCAGGCTGGTGGCACCAGAGTCTTTGGGGATGTTCCTAAAAATGGCTGGAGTAAAATTAGCTGCCATTTGGTCTGAGTCCTAGTTTCTCAAAATGTAAAGCACCCATTCAGATATCTTTTCCTGATTTGTGAACTTTCGGGATGATTCCTCAGAAGTAGTAAAGTTATCTCAAGTTTTAGGTGGAGTAACTGAGGTTCCCTCGTCCCTGGAGCACAGCCCAGGGTGACCACAGCTGCTGGCAGCCTCCCTTTCCCATACAATGATGAGGTTCTGTGAGCAGGTCTCTGAAGTTCTCTCTCCAACCAAATTTTTATGAGTCTATAAATTGGTGATTTATTAGGTAACCTCAAAAGCTAAAATTGCCATGTTTGACCCCCAAAAAATTTTTAACTAAGTCGTCCAAGAAAAAAAGGAGTACAAACTAAATGGGGTAAAAGCATCTGTGAAACGTTGTACAAAAATCTTAATTTATAGTCGCATGCCAATATTAGAGACCCAAATCAAAAAGATTCTCTGTTTAGAGAGAGTGGAGAGAAAGGAGAATATCACTGCAGGATGATTTTACATCATTCACAGAGGGTAATATTTTGTATAAAGTGAGGCACATTTTCATGAGTAGACTTATAGGCTACTCTAACCCAAGTTGAAGAACAAGGGAAAAAGCCTTCCCAAGAAAGTGGAAGGCACAGTGGGAAAGCAGAGTGGAGAGACATGGACCTGAATTCTGGCTTCTCTGCTTTCTAGCTGTGTGTCATCTGGCAAGTTCTTTAACTCTTGTGAGTCTCGGTTTCCTGTTCTGAAGAACAGGACTAGCAACACCTGAGATAAGGCATGTAAAGTACTTGGCATAGTGCTTGGCACAGTGAGAATTCCACACATTCTTGTTGAAAAATGAAAAAACAAAACCAGTTTCAGTATTGGGATATTGAAGGATGCCCGGGACCAGAGCTGAGGCACTCCTTATCCATGGGGTTATTTAAAGGATAAAGAAAGGAACTGCATATGTAAAACATGATCTCTATAAAAACTTTAAGACAATTTTAAAACTCAACCTGTAAATAAATATATTTGAAGGTTAAAAAAAAAAAAATCAGGCCAGGCGCAGTGGCTCCTATAATCCCACTCCTGTAATCAAGCACTTTGGGAGGCCAAGGCAGATGGATCACTTGAGCCCAGAAGTTCAAGACCAGCCTGGCCAACATGCTGAAACCCAATTCTACTAAAAGTACAAAAATTATCCAGGCCCTGAGTCCCAGCTACCTGGGAGACTGGGCAGGAGAATAGCTTGAACCAAGGAGGCAGAGGTTGCAGTGAGCCGAGATAATGCCACTGCACTAGCCTGAGCAACAGAGCAAGACCCTGTTTCAAAAACAAACAAACAAAAAATCTCTGAACAATTTTAAACAAAATATTGTCTAATTTTTTAGAACAAAAAAAGAGAGAGTATCTTTTTTTTTTTTTTGACAAGGTCTCACTCCATCACCCAGGCTGGAGTGTAGTGACACCGCCATGCTCACTGCAGCCTCAACTTCCCGGGCTCGATTGATCCTCTTCCCTTAGCCTCCTGAGGAGCTGGGACTTCAGGCACACACCACCACACCTAATTATTTTGTAGAGATGGGGTTTCACCATGTTGCCCAGGCTGGTCTCGAACTCCTGGGCTCAAGTAATCCATCTGCCTCAGCCTCCCAAAGTTCTGGGATTACAGACACGAGTCATTGTGCCCAGCCTGAGAGTATATTTAAATGTCTACAGGGAGAAGGGAAGAAGAAGAAAACATTCTGGTTTTGCAAGACTTTTAATGACCCAAGCAACAGCTCCAAACTTATCCTCATGCTTTCTTTACGCTTTCAGGAGCTGATCGCCAGACTCCGTGCCCTTCTTGTATAGGAAAGAAAGATACTTTGTTGGCCAAATTCCCACTTTTAAAGTATAATTCTACTAAAACTGATAAAATTTGAATTTTGCTCTGGTTCTTAAGAAAAAGAAAAAGAGGCCACGCACAGTAGCTCATGGCTATAATCTCAGCACTTTGGGAGGCTGAGACAGGAGGATTGCTTGAGGACAGGAATTTGAGAACAGCGTGGGCAACAAAGCAAGACCCTGTCTCTACAAAAAAAAAAAATGTTTAAATTAGCCAGGAGTGATAGTAAGTGCCTGTGGTCCCAGCAACTTGGGAGGCTGAGATGGAGGATCAATTGAGCCCAGGAGGTCAAGGCTGCAGTGAGCAGAGATCACGCCACTGCACTCCAGCCTGGGTGACAGAGCAAGATCCTGTTTCTCTCTCTCTCTCTCTCTCTCTCCCCACCCCCCCGACCCTCTGTCTCTCACACCCCCACAAACACACAGAGAGAAAGGAAAAGAAAAAAAAGAGTGAGATACCTTTAAGATAAACCAGAAGCCTGAGGAACTCTCTCATTACATAGAGGAAGACAGCTTCTGTTGTTATTATTTGTGTGTGTGCATGCAAAATATCAAGAGGATTTTTCTGGGAAAGGACAATCCGTACCCTTAGCATTGTAATGGGCTCCCTTCAGATAGCTGGAGGAACTGGAACATCTTCCTGCGTCAACACTCAGCTCAATCTTGAAATCCAAAGGCACATCCAAAGAGATTCCGGGCAGAATCCAACAGAACCTTTCTCTAGAATCCCAATTTGATTTTCTGAAGCCGGGTGACTACATCTGGGGCCACGCCTGCTTATGCAGCTCTCCTGACCATTATGTGCTCAGCAACAGCCCACAAGTCACTCTGAGATGAACACTTTGAGCAAACAGGCCCAGGACATCACAGTGACCCCACCTGTGAGCACACTGCAGGCCGGGCCCTGAGTAGAAATGAACAAGGTGGTCAGCATGCTGACAGGTCTTCCCTGTGTGATTTACTTTATCATGAAGTCTAACTCTGATGCTAAAGTGCTAGCCTGAGCTCACTGACCTGCCAACTTAGAGAAGAAGGTAACCATGGCTAGGATGACTGGGAATCTGATGGACTGAATTAAGAATTTCTACAGATGGGAAAGGCAAAACTCCTTAGTGGCAGGAGGCCAAAGATGGTCAGTGAATCACTGCTTCTGGCTGGTAGGTGAATTTCTTCTTTTCACTAAGCCCATTTTGTGATAATACAGTTTTCCATATTGAGAGGATTGTTTTCATCACCAAAGGAAAACTATGGGGCCATGTTCCCGTGACAATCTCTCTCCCCTATTCCCAGTACCCTCTGTTCTGTGTTTAAACCTCTACCAACCAGGCAAACTGAGGGAGATGTGTAGGACTCAGACACGGAGAAGAAAGCAGGCATTGTTTCTTTTCACCCTCTTGTGCCCCTCCACTAAAGTACCAACCAGGTAGCACAGCCACGTAACACTCGCAAGTCCCACACCCTACACTTCTAGGATCAGCGCTACTGACTTTGTCACGGTAAGAGTTGGCTGTTGGAGGCAATGATTCAACAACCCAAATTCTGACTATTCCTTTTGTATCTGTCATTTATAATGTGAATAGTGTACAACTAAAACCTTTAAGTGCGTGATCCATTAATAATTTGTACTACACAAAGCAATATGCTGCTCTGTCTTCAACCAACACAGTGCTGCAGTCGACACAAAGAGGCAAAACCATGGCAGGATGGCAGTTACAACAGAAACTCACCAGCATCCTGAAGTCTCTGCATATCATGGGGTGAACAAGTTGAAGGGCCTTGCGACACAGACAAGCAATCCCTTAAATCGTCTTTTTTTCAACAGTTGGAAGGTGACTGCACTTGAATAATAGAACGCAAACGGAGCTTCAAAATCATGGCGTGCCTGCTTCTGGGTTCCTTTAACTGCAAGAAATCAGCTCTGAAGACCACAGAGGGAACTTCTGATGTGATTCAAACCTTTGTCTTTTTTTTTTTTTTTATCTTTTAAGAGCATTCAAAAACACTTGGTCTGGCTGTTTTAATTCTCTCATTCTCTCCTTCTATTCCTAGCTCAAGAATTCTATTTACACATGAAAGAAAATAGGAGATGGCTCAGAATAATATGTCGAAGGCCACGCCCAGGGGTCAGGGATTCATGAATTTTGTATCCAGTGTATGGTGTTTCTAGATTAAAATATTTTCAAAGGTAATGTGATATAGGCTCCCGCTGTAATGACTGCATTTGATCACGCTCTGGTAATTCTATCAGCTAACTTTATCTCAGAAATGTGGGGCGCCACAATGCAGTGCCTCTAACTGTAACCATACACCATTCAGTGAGGCTGTCTGGCTTCACCCTGTCATTGTGGGGTGGCAGAAGGGAGACACTGTGATGGGCAACAAGTCAATCCAATACTCCTACGAGAGCCAGATGGATGGATTATTTATAGTCAGTCTTAGGGATGGAGTCCTTTTGGGAGTGTACATGAATTTGATGACCAGCTGTTACAAATTTGTTTTCCTGAAACTATTTTAAAAGTTAGGGGGAGAAAAAAGCCTTTTGAAAGTATGAGTCAAGCAGTATTTGGAGAAACTTCCTGCCTGTGTTTTACCAGCAATCTTCGCTGGTTTTCCTTGCTCTTTGGTGAGGTTAGCACTGTCTTTTTATCCAATTTTCCCATTGACACAGCCTAGCTTGTGCTGTAAACCATGGACCTTTGCTGTGCTTTCAGAACATTTAGAAAACTCTTACCAATTGATTTTCTGAAAATAATTCCAGTGATAAACTTTAAAACACACTGACTTAAGGGAGTATAATTTTTTTATTTTTGAGACAGAGTCCTGCTCTGTCACCACGCTGGAGTGCAGTGGTGCCATCTCAGTTTACTGCAACCTCCACCTCCCAGGTTCAATCGATTCTCCTGCCTCAGCCTCCCAAGTAGCTGAGACTACAGGCATGCACCACCATGCCCAGCTAATTTTTCTATTTTTAGTAGAGACGGGGTTTCACCATGTTGGCCAGGATGGTCTCGATCTCTTGACCTCATGATCCACCCATCTTGGCCTCCCAAAGTGCTGGGATTATAGATGTGAGACACTGCGCCCAGCCAAAGCATAATTTTCAAATTTTATTTTATTTTTAAAGATAGAGTCTTGCTGTGTCACCCAGGCTGGAGTGCAGTGGCATGATTATGGCTCACCACAGCCTCTACCTCCTGGGCTGAAGTAATCCTCCTACCTCAGCCTCCCAAGTGGCTAGTATCACAGGCATATACCATCACACCTGGCTAATTTTTTTCTTTTTTTTTTTTTGAAGACAGGGTCATGCTATGTGGCCCAGACTCATCTCGAACTTCTGGGTTCAAGCGACCCTCCTCCTCGGCTCCCAAAGTGATGTGATTACAGGCATGAGCCACCATACCCAACTTCGAATAAGTATAATATTTTTTTATCTCTTCCCTGAAACTCCTCTGCCCATCTCTAAACTTTTGAACTTAAGTTTTACAACCTCTTCCTGGACATAAGAAGGGCCAGAATATTTTAGAAAGATCCCCTTCCTCCCTTAACCAAAGGCTTATCCTTCTCTCCTCTGCCCTCCTCCCCCTGCCTAAAGGAAGGACACTGACTTGTAATTACAATTTTTTTAAAATAATGAATGCAAAGTTAAACATATTGCACATTGATACTTAATCTACACTCCTCAAAATGATTTCTAAAAGTTATGATTTTGACTAAAAGTCTCTTTTTATATTAGAAGAAATATCTAGAGAATAAATCTCAAAATCTCTATGTGGTAGGATTACAGGTAACTTTTATTTTCTCATAAGAACTATTCCTTCATTTATTAAACAAATATTTATTGCGTGTACCTGTTAGGCACACTGTACCATGCTAGGTCCTGAAAATCAAAAGGAAATATAGAGAACAGTTAGGTGTGTGGACTTTGGTGCCAGACTGAGCTGTGCTATATTAGAGAAGTTGCTTAACTTTTCTGTTCCTTAGTTTGTTCATCTGTAAAATGGGAGTATTAATAGCAATACCACATAGGGTTGTTGTGATGACTGTGTGAGTTGGTGTTTAAATCAACACTTATGTAGCACAATGTGCCTGATGCTATTCTAATGACTTTCCAAATATTCATCAACTGAATGCAAAGGATTTAGAATATTGTATATATTATAAATGGTGGTAAGTGCTATGAATGATAGGAAGAGACTGCTGGAAGAAAGAATATAAGAAAGGAAGGAAAAACTTTCTTGAGATTGGATAGTCAGGGAAGGGCTCTCTAAGGCCATGAATTTCAATCTGGAGCCTGAGGGATGCAAAGCAACCATGCAGAGAGTCAGGGCAGAGCACTCTGGGCTGAGAGGACATGTATGCAAAGACCTGGCAATGGAAAAGAACATTGTTTATTGGGAAAGCTGAAAGGAACTAGCATAATGGTGGCAGAGATTAAACAAATTGATGTGTTTAAGACATAAGACATTTTTGAGTAACAACAAAATTGGGCAACGTGTTTGTGAAGGCAAGGGAGAGTTTAATCAGGACCCCTCATCATGCTTTCTTGTATTTTTCCAAGTATTAGAATAAAAATCACTCAGCTGGGCACGGTGGCTCATGCCTGTAATCCCAGCACTTTGGGAGGCCAAGACGGGTGGATCAAGAGGTCAAGAGATTGAGACCATCCTGGCCAACATGGTGAAACCCCGTCTCTACTAAAAATACAAAATATTAGCTGGGTGTGGTGGTGGGTGCCTATAGTCCCAGCTACTCAGGAGGCTGAGGTAGGAGAATCACTTGAACCTGGGAGGTGGAGGTTGCCGTCGGCCAAGATGGCACCATTGCACTCCAGCCTGGTGACAGAGCAAGACTCTGTGTCAAAAAAAAAGAATAAAGACCACTCAAATAAATAGGAAAATGACTCCAAAGAACAAAGAACATTAATTAAGAGAAAAAAGATATACAAATACAGATGGCATTTAAACATATGAAAAGATGATCACTTTTGTTAGAGCATGTTCTATGTTTTAAACATATTTGTAGGCTGGGCATGGTGGCTCACGCCTGTAGTCTCAGCACTTTGGGAAGCTGAGGCGGGCAGATCCTTTGAGGCCGGGAATCTAAGACCAGCTTGCTCAACATGATGAGTCCCCGTCTTTACTAAAAATGCAAACACTAGCCAGGCATGGTGATGCATGCCTGTAATGGCATGCCAACTACTCAGAAGGCTGCAGCACAAGAATTACTTGAACCTATTTGTTTATTTGTTGGTTTGTTTATTTTTGAGACAGGGTCTTCCTCTGTTGCCCAGGCTGGAGTGCAGTGCCACAATCATAGCTCACTGCAGCTTCAACCTCCGGTGCTCAAGTGATCCTTCTGCCTAAGTCTCCTAAGTAGCTGGGACTACAGGTTCCTGCCACAGCACCCAGCTAGTTTTTTTTCTTAATTTTTCATAGAGGTGGGATCTTACTTTGTTTACCAGACTGATCTTTTTTTTTTTTTTTGAGATGGAGTTTCGCTCTTGGTACCCAGGCTGGAGTGCAATGGCGCGATCTCGGCTCACCGCAACCTCTGCCTCCTGGGTTCAGGCAATTCTCCTGCCTCAGCCTCCTGAGTAGCTGGGATTACAGGCACGCACCACCATGCCCAGCTAATTTTTTGCATTTTTAGTAGAGACGGGGTTTCACCATGTTAACCAGGATGGTCTCGATCTCTTGACTTCATGATCCACCTACCTCAGCCTCCCAAAGTGCTGGGATTACAGGCGTGAGCCACGGCACCCAGCCTACCAGACTGATCTTGAGCTCCTGTGCTCAAGCAATCCTCCTGCCTTGGCCTCCCAAAGTGCTGGAATTACAGGCATGAGCCACCACGCAGAACCTAATGCCTACTTTAGCTTGAATGAATGCATAAGGTTTTAGAACAGCACCTGGAACATGTCTTGATACATGCTAGCTTTAAAAACTTTTTTTTTTTTTGAGGCGGAGTTCCACTCTTGTTACACAGGCTGGAGTGCAATGGCGCAATCTTGGATCACCGCAACCTCCGCCTCCTGGGTTCAGGCAATTCTCCTGCCTCAGCCTCCTGAGTAGCTGGGATTACAGGCACGTGCCACCATGCCCAGCTAATTTTTTGTATTTTTAGTAGAGACGGGGTTTTACCATGTTGACCAGGACAGTCTCGATCTCTTGACCTTGTGATCCACCCGCCTCGGCCTCCCAAAGTGCTGGGATTACAGTCTTGAGCCACCGCGTCTGGCCTTAAAAACTTATTAACTATTATGTAAAATACCTGTCTTAGTATTTTACAATTTCTGCCTTTTTAGTCAGTTTGTATGGTTTTATGTGAGATAAGGATTTGAAATGTAAATGTGTTGTAAGTTATTCCATGGTAGAAAAATAATAGCTATCAATACTTCCCTAACTCCTTTCTTGTAAAAAGCACAAAGCTCTTTGCATCACCCTAAGTTAGCACGCCCAACATGATTATGAAGTAAATATGACCTGATCCAATGCTGCAATGCCAATTTTTACTGGATGGTGTTAAAGTACCGGAAGTGACAACCATATGAAAGGTGAATAATCACTGCTTAGCCTTTTGTGATAGGTTTGTGTAGGCATCGTAAGCGTTAATTAATAAAATTCACAACACCTAGGTAAGGTATTTCTTTACCCTCTCAAGCAATGTCATCATCTCAGAGAAGGAAACTCAGTACAAGGTTAAGAACTTAGGACAGGAAACAATTATCTGCTCAAAAATAACAGCCCTTTGCCTCTGAATAATACTTTTCAATCAACAGTATCCAGTTCCATTGCAAACCCTAATTAAACACTCTCAGGAACTTAAGGATCTCCCTGTAACCTGTGGAGCAGATTGAAGGGGAGGAAGTGGTTTAGCTAAAATTAATTACACAGCAGGCCACTAGCAGCCAGGATTTAATCCCTTCAAATCCGGTATGAGGTGCAACTTAAAAGCCTACTGTGTGGTAGGTGCTTTGTGTATATCTCCTCGGTCCTTTCCACA